TGCTTATATAATAGTAATAATAGTAAGACTATTAATTAGTTTCAGTGAATATTAGACTAAACTCTAGTGGTAATGATACTAGGTTTTGTCAAAGGAAAATTATGTTAAGAGTAACGAAGTGTTGTCCGAATGTCGAGTCACCAACTTATCAAGTGAGTGCATGATCCCTTTCATCTTACACATAGATACGAAGTATTTTATAAAAACTACGTGTTATGTGTGCATATTATCAATATACTTGCTATCTATACTGGATGAATAATTTTAAACAAGTTTTATATGATTTAAATTGTATATGTATTTTTATCTCCATAATATGTTGGGTAAAGCATGGGTAGATGAAATATGAGTTGGATGATGAAGTTGAGAGGTGATATAGACTATGAGGTAAGGGTGAGAGGTGGACGATGTGAGAAGCCTTGTTCCCAAATGTCAGTCCTGTCATCTAGCAGAGTATGGATAACAACCACAGACTATTCTAAACAGTCCAATGGAACACTAGCAGGCTCACAACCTGTAGTGTTGTGAACGATGTGTTCACTGGTGTACTCTAAAAACCCATTAACGTGTATTGCGAGTGGAATCTCGAAAATGATACTGTCAATAAACGAGATAACCCTTGCAGCTGTGCCGAAGGACAATACCGGCAGCTGCGCCTTATAAAGAATGTCATAATTCTGACAGTTGCGCCTAAGTGATAGAACTAGCAGCTGTGCTTGACAATTGTGTCATTGACAACGATGGAATGCGTACCCATTCCTTAGGATAATCCTTAGGAATGAATGAATGAGAAATAGCTGATTCTTAGGGTAGATCCTTAAGAGTAAAGAAGATAATGGGGATGGGTAATTGGGTTAACTGTTTGATGATTAAACATAATAATTATATTGTTGTGGGTTGAAAACCCTATGTACTCATCAAGTTTCCTAACCTGACCCACTCAGTTTATTTATATCACAAGTGTTGATATTAAGTCACATCACACTGAGAGATTAAGGAGATATAAATCACTAGTGATAATGAATGTAAGTTCTGTTTATGCTTATAATTCTGTATTGACGATGACATCCCAAATGTTTTAAATTGAATAAAAATACTTTTCTTTGAAAATGCTTTGATAACGTATTCATCATGTTTTACTGGGAACAAATTCCACAACATTTTTATTAAAAGAGATACTCTGATTTTTATAAAGCATAAACAAAATCAGTCTTTTCTGGCCGTGAAAATGGGATTGTCACGGTTTAAGCTACTTATTTGAAAGCTTTTAATGATTATACAAATATATTTAGGAAATATTTTAGTTAAATTGAGATTACAATTTAGTTTTTGCATTTATCAACACAATTTATCACTTTTAACTATTTATAAAATATTCTTTGATTTTTTAAGTAGAACTGAAATTTATATTTAAGTTGATATTGTAATGTTATATAAGTTAACAATTTTAGTATTTTTTCCAAACTGTTCAAAAGTTGTAGCTTAAACTAATAATGGTTTACATATAACAATATATTAAATCTAATAAATTAACTATAACATGTTAAAAGTTAAAAGACTTATAAGTAGAAGTAAAAATATTATTTTAAAATTGAAATTTAATTTATTTATGATTACACTTTAGGTTTGATATTTATTTAACCTTATTAACCAACGTATAATAATTATTAGAAAGACACTACAATTTATCACTTTTAACTATTTACAAAATATTATTTGGGTTGTTTAAGTTGAACTAAAATTTATATTTAAGTTGACCATCTAAGTTATATTTAAAGTAATCATTTAAATATTTTATACAAATTGTTCTAAACTGTATCTTTAAATTGATAATGGTTTACATTCAACGATCTATTAAAACTAATAAATTAACTATAATATATTAAAATGTAAAAAACATAACTTTATAAGTAGAAGTAAAGATATTTATTTTAATATTGAAATTTAGTTTATATATGATTACACTTTAGGTTTGATATTTATTTAACCTAATTAACCAAATTATAATTATTATTTGAAAGAAATTGAATTGTCATGGTAGTTTCAAATGAATGTGGTGAAAGGAAAAATGCATGAGAGTTTCAAATGAATGTGGTGAATGGAAAAATGTTTCTTTTATAAGTATACTAGTCGAATACGCGCGCGTTGCGCGTGAATATAATTATTTAATTAAGATAATAATATTTAACAAATTATGATTTAATATTTATACATGTAAAACCAATGTCAATAGCAAAACAGACTCTCTAGTTAGCATATTTATTTTAATAAATTTATATCATTAGATATTTCCCTATTAATTTATAATTTTATATACCATTTTATGTTGTGTAAATTATATAGTAGATTGAAAAAAATAATTACTACAACTTTTGATGATTTTATAGAGCATTTTAATTTGTTTAAATTTAATATAAAACGCATGCTGATTTGTATATAAAACAAATAATAAGTAGTTTGAAAAACACTGTAACTTTTAATAAAATAAAAACACTACAATATTATAACATTTACATCAAACAAAACTTATTAAACACTTATAAATCATTCAAAATGAATATATAAAAAACAATATACATTTGATATATAGAAACATTGTTATAAAAAAATTGTGTTGAAATAAATATTGATGCAACAAAACTTTTTTTTTCAACACTTTCATTTTGAATCACAAATCTTTTCAAACATATGATTTTTTAATCAAAACTAAATTATATACTATTAATATTAGCTACAATGTGTATAATAAATAAGTGGAAAATAAAAAAACATTCCACATTAATAATCATAAGTTTAAAACTTTTGAATGTAGTGGAAAATATAAAACCAAATTACATTAAATTTGAAATCATAATTACATTTAAATAAAAAACAATTGAATTATGGTGGGAGTTTTAAACTCTTGATTTGTGCCAAATAATGTAATATAAATATTAACAATTATATATTATAAATACAATATTATAAGTATTTAATATTGAAATAATACTTTTTATACTAAGTTGTAACTAATATCATAATAATTTTCAGTATACAATAAGAAAGATATAAAAAGTTTTGTTTGCATCAAATTTAATTAAGTTTTTTTATTTAAAATAAATTTAAACTATAGATATTTGTAAATGATTTATAAATAATTTATTTGAATATTATTTATTTCCTATATTATTATTATTATTATTATTATTATTATTATTATTATTATTATTATTATTATTATTATTTCAAATAACACTAATTTTTTAATGTAATATAATATATTATTTAGTTTTATGTTATTTTAAATAATTATTACTTTCTACTAATTAAAAACCGCGTATTTGAAAATTTTCATTATTATATTTAGAAAAAACTATCATATTTTTTTATTGTACTTTTATTTTCTTCTTTAAAGCTATGAAATATTGGAAGAGAACGAATGATCCAAATAAAATGATGATTTGAATTTCAAAATTATAATAATTGTTACGTATTGCGACAAATCTTTAAAAATATATATGTTAAGAGTGAGTTAGAGGAGGAGGAGTGCTATATTTGAGGTATAATTTTATCAATTATAGTTTCTTATAAAGATATTAATATTTTATTTATTTTACTTTTCCTTTACGATAAAGAACGAATAGGGAAAAAATTAACAAATGTAATAAGATAAATTATTTTTATTACTATATAAATATTTAATATTTGGTAATCCATATATGTTTTGGTAGAACATAAAGAGTTCATTTTTATAACACACATAATTATTGGTTTTCAACAATAAAATCATATCATATTAAAAATCATTCGTTCTAATTCGTCATTATCACAAACAATTTGGAATAATAATTATAAACTCCTTTCATTGAAATCAATTATAGAAAAACTCCATCGATGTTATTTACATAAAAATAAGCGATTGAAACTAACATAATATATATATATATATATATATATATATATATATATATATATATATATATATATATATATATATCACTGTTGTAAAAATTCCGACTACGTCCCGGTTAATCTCTGATTAATCCCTAGGCGTTACTCAACCGATTAGAGTGCGCCTAGCGATTAATCATTGCATACATAATGAGTGAAACATTATAAAACGATGAAATTTTAACATTTTGAAGAAGTTTTATCTCAATGGAAATTATTTGAGGCATGATTAGTGTTGTATTAATCATATTAACCTATTTTGTTATTATATTTGTGGTATTTACGAACTTTGAAAATTAAAGTCATATACATATATATATATATATATATATATATATATATATATATATATATATAAAGTATTAAATATCATATATACGATATTAAATTGTAATAAATACGTTTTTTTTCCTTTTTATTTTAAAGTTATATATTAAAGAATATTTTTTGTTTACACTTTAATGCTTAATCTTTTTTAAATCAACTCGTGTAATACATGAGTTTCACAACTAGTTCTTAATAAATGAAAGTTTTTTTTGCCACATGTCAATCTCTCATTAGTTTTGATACTTGTCATTTTGTGATATTTTTGAAATAAATATTATTCACTTGTCAATTTTTGATTTGTTTCAATTTTTAAAATTAAAATCATATACTTATATATGTAAAGTATTAAATATAATATATATGATATTAAATTGCAATAAATATGTTTCTTCCTTTATTATTTTAAAAGTTGTACATTAAAAAATATTTTTTGTCTACACTTTAATTTAACGTTTAATCTTTTTTAAATCAACCCGTGTAATACACGAGTCTTACACCTAGTTTTAGAATATAGTAGCTATATATTTAAAGCATTTGTAAGAACTTTATTGTAACAATGAAAGTTATTTTTAAATATTTTAAGACATATGATATGACTTACCAATAATATTTTTTACTTTCTACTTTTTCGGTTTCATTTACATAAAGCATCACATGGTTTTCGGTTCTAGATTCATCACTGGATGCAATGACATTATTTAGTTGTCAACTCAATATTCGGGATGTGTATACTAAAAACAATAATGGATGGACACGGGTAAGTCACTCGGGGTGATAGGTGTTGATTTCTTATTACTATCACTTTATTTGTTTGGTTTTTGTTTTTGACTTAAAGAATTGAATTATGATTTTAGAGGCTCATTGTACTTAAATGGTATTGTCCGGGACAATTTCAAATATTTGGAACAATTTTAAATAAATTTATTTATTTCATTAGCAACTTACAATATTTATGTTTTGTTGTGGATTGTATATTTTCTTTCGTAAGGAAATTTGGTTTATCATGTTTGGTGCAAAAATAGATTAATGATAAAATTGTAAAGTTGTTAGTTTCATTGATAATGGAGCGCCAGGTAAGGCTGGCACGTAAGAGCTGTTTAGACCATGCTAATGGATCATATATCATCAAGTCCCCCCAGTCCAATGTCATTGGTATATATGCAGCCAATGACATTGGACTGGACTCGGTCATATAAATTGTGTGTCATCAGGTGTAAATATAGATTATAGATAAAATTCTAAAGTTGTTTTTTCTCTTTGTATTTTTGTAATCTCGGAAACACAATTTTTTTTCCTTCCATTTCCTTCAAACTTGGAAATGCGAAAGTAGTTACTCTTTTTCTTTTTTTTCTCCATATTTTTCTTTTTATTAAAACTGGGAAACAAAGTGTAAGGTCAATATTGAAGTGTTTTGAGGTATAATTTTAGATGATTAATTTTTCCCCACACCACACTTCTATTAACCATGGACCTAATCAGTGGATTTGTTTAATGGTTTGTTTGTGGTTTTTAGTTTTGTTCCACTCAAATCCACTTTATTTTTATGGAACTAAAAATTGTAAAATCAAACGGACTTGGTCTTTGTGAGTTTGTTCCACTCAGAGATTTTTCATCCATCCATAACATATATTCAGATTAAAAATGTTTTGTTATATTCAGTCAAGTTCTATTCCCCGTACCAAATCGATACCTAAGATAAAATTGATATCGGAATAAAGTTAGTTGGCTTTATTAGCATTTTCGGGTTGTACATAGAGTTTGACATGGTGTAAGTAGCTCTTAAACACAATATACTACTAATTTATAAAATATCAATTTCCTGTAAAATAGATAAGTTAATTAGATTGACCAATGTTATTATCTTATATAAGTTTGGGTGAAAAGTGAAAGCACACAGATTACTATATTTTGAATTTTAATTTGAACGACAGAGGAAACAACACACCGGCAATCGGCATCGACCTCGGAACAACCTACTCATGTGTTGCCGTTTGGAAGCATGATCGCATCCAAATCATTCCCAATGATCAAGGCAACAGAATCACACCTTCTTGTGTTGCTTTCGTTGATGTCGAACGCCTCATCGACGATGGCGCCATGAACAAAGCCGCCATGAACCCTGCTAACACTATATTTGGTAAACTTTTTTTATCTAGTTTTTTTTTATTGAATAATGTTATTCTTATTAAGGAATAGCAAGAAACCGGCCAATATTTCATGAACAAAGGTTTAGCTTTCATTCCGTTCGGATCTACTTCAATTAATGTTTGTTTACGTATTCTACTGCATATATATATATATATATATATATATATATATATATATATATATATATATATATATATATATATATATATATATATATATATATAATCATGGTTTAAAAAATGACCATTTTACCCTTAGGTTCAATTCTCCAAAGATGGGAACTATCTTTGGAAAATAATGAAAGAGGCAGAGGTAATAAGAAGAGGAAAGGAAGAGATGAGACTCCTTATGACAGTAGAGGTTCAGATCCAGCATCTTGGAAAGTTCCTCAGGTAGTGTCTATTATAGCTTGTAAAACTTGCAACCAGGTTGTGGCTATGTTCAAGAAACATAGGAGTATGAATCAGTTTACAATTCATGATTTGCAGATCAGTAATTGTGAAGTTAAGTAAGCTAAATAGAATAGATATTACAAACTTTTGTCTTACCTGAAGAACTTACATTGTTTCTGACTCTAGATAGAAATTGAAAATTTATGGAAATGAAAATAGAGTCCCTCTGATGTTCTTGACAAGTGTCATTGTCTGGTTGTAGGTCTCTTGAAAAGGGAATACAGGATCGCTAAAACAGCTAACGATCCAGACCCGGCTGCCATTCCATAGAATAGGGACTGCCAATCATTTGATTCTCGGGATTTTGGTGGTAATGATACTGCCACTGAAGTTTTGCAACTTTTATTCAGAGGAAACCCACATAATCCCTTGTTTCCTCCATAGGAATCCCCATCAAAAGTCTGAAACTGGGAGCCTGTTGGGATTCTTCCTTTTAATTGATTGTATGATAGATTAAGAACAGAAAGGAATGGAAGATCGGTGAGCTCTGATGGGATCTTTCCAGTTAGTTTGTTGGAAGACATGTCCACATTCAATACTTTCATATATTTGTTTATTATATCATCCTATTTCCTTTCATTAATGATGATGTTTTACTTTTGAAGCTTTATATTCTTTATTAATGACAATGTTTTCAAATATTCATCTCTAGATTTCATCTTTGTAAGGAAAACAAGGATACACAAGAGGCATTAGGGGTAAATATTCTTTTTGTATCATTTGAGTTTTTACATTTTCTCTCTATCTATGAAGTCTGACTTTATGTGGCACTTGCACAACGTAAGGAAGACAGAAGGGCAAGATTGCAGGTATGTTGAGACTTGAGACATATGTTCTTACTTCTTATGCAATATAAACATTTTTATGACAATTTTGCCCTTTTTGTATATAGGCACAATTCTCACAGATGTGTCCAATTGCAATGGCGCCAGCTGTAGCACCACGTATGCCAATGTATCCACCTGGTGGGCCAGGTTTAGGTCAACATATATTCTATGGTCAAGCTCAGCCTACATTCATTCCTCCACAGGTAATAACATCAGTTAATAAAAATTATTCTTTTTATTATAATCATGTTTCAAGATTTTTCATGGTGTTGAATATTTTGTTCCTGTAAAGATCTTTTCAAAACTAAACAATTTTTTTTTTTTAAAATCATGTACAACCTGGATTTGGGTATCAACAGCAACTCGTGCCAGGTATGCGTCCAGGTGGCGCCCGAATGCCAAACTTCTTCATGCCAATGGTGCAGCAAGGTCAACAAGTTCAACACCCAGGTGGCAGGCGTGCTACTGGTCCAGGTCAGCAAAACCAGCAGCCCATACCCCTAATGCAGCAACAGGTTAGAATTCCAATCTCTTTTAAAAAAATTTCAGTGATATTAATAATTAAATTAATTAATTGAGATTGATTACAACAAACTAATAATAGATGATGTGTTGAGACACTGGAATCACAAATGAATTCCAATCTTTGTGGGAGGATGTACCGTTATCCCCTGGACAGAATGTTCCGGATGGTTCCATGACCGGAATTGGAGGTGGGGGAATGGTTTCTGTTCCGTATGACATGGGTGAATGGCATTGAGAGACACTGGAATCACACAACCCATTCCGATTGGTGCGTTGGCTTCTGCACTTGCTAATGCTTCCCCCACAAAACAGAGAACGGTATATGCTGCAGTTGTGAAACACTTGGAAACTGTCGCAGGGGTAAACCTGTCATTTTATTTACTTGTGGATTAACTTAAACACTGCAAGTGTATATATTGACTCAGAATGTGTTTATATGTGCAGACTGAAGTAACTTCCATTAAGGAAGAAGCAGTGAGCATGATTCTTCATCCAAGGGATGGTGATATTCTTTTAGTTTCTGATATCATCATTTAAATTTATTTTTATAAATTGAGACAGAAATGTCATATGATTATTTGTTTTCTTTAATGTAAGTTTTTTATTACATTATATTTTTAATAATATAAAAGTTATTAATTATATTTGTAATAATGAAGTGTTTTGAGATTGTACCATTTTATCTATTTTGTAAATTTACTCTTTTAGCAATTTTGTGATATGAGAACTGGGAAATTATAGAGAAAAAAGAGCAGCTATATGGGCATACCTATAGAGACGACATGTTGTTTCTATAGGTGGATCTATAGAGATGCATCTACCACCACGACATGTTGGCGCTAAGGGCTAAGGTGAGTCGACTATATCTCTATCTATGGAGACGACATGTTGTGTTTATGCATATACCAATAGAGACGACATGTCGTCTCTATAGCTTCATTTATGGAGACCAACAACGTATAGCGACGAACCAAAACAGGACGACATGTCGTCTCTAAAGGATACCTATTGCGACCATATTTATAGCGACGACCAAAAATATCTATTGCGACGGGGCTATGAGGACGAGAGCTGTAGCGACGACATTTTTAACCTATAGAGACGACATTTGTCGTCCCTATAGGTCCAGTTTCTTGTAGTGCGCAGCTGCAATTGCTTATGGTCTGGATAATAAGACTGGCATTAATGGCAAGATCAATGTGCTCATCTTTGATCTGGGTGGTGGCACTTTTGATGTATCTATTTTGACCATTGCTGAAGGGGGTACGATTGAGGTGAAAGCTGTTGCAGGTGACACTCATTTAGGAGGTGAGGATTTTGATAACTGCATATGGTGGATCATTGTGGTCAGGAATTCAGGAGGAGATGGAATAAAGACTTGAGTGAGAACAAAAGAGCATTGGGGAGGTTGAGATTTGCTTGTGAGAAAGCAAAAAGGATTCTCTCATGTAGTACTCAGACTTCAATTGAACTAGATGGCTTGCATGAGGCCATTGATTTCTCCATGAAATTTAGTCGAGCTAAATTTGAAGAGCTCAACATGAGCTAAATTTGAAGAGTTCATGATTTCTGAAATACCACCCGCTCCAAAAGGAGTTATAAGCTTTATGGACACCTTTGAAATAGATGCGAATGGTATCCTCACAGTCACATCGGAGATAATATCAACTGGTAAGACTGAGAAACTCACGATTACTAACGAAAATGGAAGACTCTCAAAGGAACAAATGGAGAAGATGGTTAAAGATGCTGAGAAGTACAAACAGGAGGACATAGAATACAAGAAGAAAGCAGATGCAATGAATGCATTGGAGGATTGCATATACAACATGAAGTATAAGATAAAAAATATGACGAGAGGTAAGAAGTTGAGGAAAATGGAGGTTGCCATTGCTGACACGACCAAGTGGATCGAGCACAATGAAGCTGCATCTGTTGATGAGGTTCAACGCATGAAGGATCATCTGGAGTCTCTATGCATGGACGAGTTTTAGTCAATAAATCATGGTAATGAAACTCGTGTATCTTCTAAAGTCGTGTTTTGTTTTCATTAGATGATGTTTAATAGTAATTAAGGGGAAATTTCTTAAACCAATAAAAAAATGTTAAACCAAGAACCTTTTTGTATTTGTCTGATAAGTTGCGAAACAAAAGCATGAATCTTGGAATGCTATTTCAACTGCTCATGCAAGGTACTTGATTTTGTTAGATTTTTTTTTTTGGAAAATTTTGATTACCATCTACATGTGTTGATTGTTTAATTTATAATATTTTACGCAACACACTTGGTTCTAGACTTTCAAGATTTATGTTTCAACTCGGTGTGCTTTAATGTTCCAACTGAGTTCATCATGGCCTAACAAGTCAAGATGATCATTTTTTAGATTGAGCGAAGACTACATTTTTTTCCTTGTGCATATCCACAATGGAATTGAAAGAAAGTTGAATATATTGCACTTCGGGTATTCGGATTCGGGTAGAGTGGGTTTTAATTCGGGTCAGGTATATCCGGGTATACCCGAAAATTACCCACAATTTTTTTTGAGACTTTTGGGCCGGGTCTTATAAATTGAATGAAATTTTTTTATAGAACAACCTGTTTTTATATTATACCACCTTGTGCAATTGCCGTACAAATAAAAACTATTGAATCTCATTTGTGAACTCACTACAATCAATAATAAACTAGTAAAAAACTCCACGAGGATGATGTTTTTTCTGCATTGTTTTGGTTAGTAAAACAAATATATGAAAGTGTTTTACTAAAATACAAAGAGGAAGTCTCACAATTGATTGTATTTTACTTATGATTTTAGTTAGAAAGAAACTTGCAAATTTGGAGTGTAAATACAAGACTTGCATATTGCAGATTTTAGGTGTAAATCTAATTACTGAATAGCAAGAATTGTACAACAATACCGAAAGCAGATCACCATGAGATTTGGATAAAGATGATTTGAGAAGTTTGAAGCTTGAATGTGTGCCACTTGACCAACCACAACTACTATCAACTTCATGAAGTATGAATTTCCCTTTTATCCTCAACTATTCCGTATGTAAGTTCAATCTGCAACCATCAACTTAAATGCAACCATTTTTTAAGCTGCGGTTGTAGGAGTGTTACAACGATTTTTTAAGCTTTGGTTTGGCGACACAACTCCCCTCAGACTTGAGTGATTTAATATAGAAATAAAGTAGTACATTTTATTTGTTGTTTTTATGGAAATATGGGAAGCTCTACACTCAGTGTCGTCACTATACAACCATCACCCATGTCACTATACACCCATCGCTCAATGTCAGTATACACACATCACCCATGTCAGATTACATATCAAAATATAGATTTTTTTGTGATGTAACTTGTTGTTTATTATCTATGTTTATCTTTTGATAATAATATATATACAGCCATCACCCACTCACTATACACCCATCGCTCTGAAACCATGTGTTAACAGGTAATTGAAAACCCTCTAATTGAAAACCCCCTAACCCAAAACGTGGTCAGCAGAGCAATATATACATTAAAGAAATTTGCAATTTGCTATACAAAGAAATAAAGAATTGCAACAAACGACAAACAATAATAAATGAAAAATAATCAATTTATATCAAGGTTGCAGAAAACGTTAGATGTTAGCTAGTCGGTGGACTAGGATCTAGGGATTAATCGGCTAGACGGAGATTAATCGGGGACCATTAATTATTAAGAAAATTATTCAAAAATTTATAAATCTAATTTTAATCGTAAGAATATAAATAAATTTGCTATACAAAGAAATAAAGAATTGCAACAAAGGACAAACAATAATAAATGAAAAATAATCAATTTATATCAAGGTTGCAGAAAACGTTAGACGTTAGCTAGTCGGTGGACTAGGGTCTAGGGATTAATCGGCTAGGCGGAGATTAATCGGGGACTATTAATTATTAAGAAAATTATTCAAAAATTTATAAATCTAACTTTAATCGTAAGAATATAAATAAATAAGCATAAAAGTTTAATAATAAGTTTAAGGGAAAATGACTCTTGAGGGTAATTAACTTTTGCGTTTGTACTCATTTGGTCCTTTTTTTTTTTTGTATTCAATATACCATCGAACTTGTTGTTGGTGTTTACCATAGCCCTTTTGACCGGCTTTTGACCTGTGATAGCCGGTCAAAGGGTTATGGTGAACACAAACAACAAGTTCGATGGTATATTGAGTACAAAAAAAAGGAAAGGGACCAAATGAGAACAAACGCAACAGTTGGTTACCCTCCTGATTCATTTTCCCTTTACTCATTTACAACAAATCCCACATCATCTCCTACTGATATTAATGATTTTTTTAGATTCATTCTTGCTTCTCTTCAAAACATAACCTACGAAAGAACATTATTCATGCATGTACAACTTTGTAATGCACTTGAATATTTATTAGGGGAATATTGACTAAGCAAACGAATTTCATGACTACATTTACATTTTGTAACACTCAAAAATTTAAGCCAAATTTAAACTTTCAAAAACACGTCGAATTCGTCAAAACATTACAACTTTGTTTTCAAAATACATTTATATCATAGTTTTCCCAGAAACATAACACAATAGGAGGAGCTGTACGATCATGCTTTTGCCTTGCTGCGATCCCCTGAGGTACCTGAAACAATAAATGAAACTGTAAGCCCGAGAGCTTAGTGAGTTACCCCCAAAATACCGATACACATACAGTCCACATAACCGTGTCACACGTTAACATATCGTAACAAACTGAGCAAAAAAGCACATAACGGGTCCACAGCTTTACAGACTGGAATACCCCTGGGCCCACAGTGTGAGTATGGAATACCTACCGGGCCCTCAGCTCACATCTGGATTGCTACGAGCCCTCAGTACGCGTCTGGAATGCCTACCGGGCCCTCAGCTCGTATCTGGAATGCCCCCTAGTCCTCAGTATGAGTCTGGAATGCTTACCGGGCCCTCAGATCATATCTGGAATACTCTAGGGTTTGTTGGCTACCGCACGGAGCAGTACAGCCTGAACCCATCCCACATAACATATCACATGTAACAGATAATGCACATACCGGAAATCAATCAGTATCACAGGTAGTCCTACAGTCCTACCCTCAAGCGTATCAAACTAGCATGCATAACTAACTTCGAATCAACATAATACAACTACTAGGATATCATCTCCAATGGGCCGGCCTTGGTGCCTTAGACCCCCTTGGGAGATTTATGAAAAAGGTTGTGTGGTACTTTTAGGTGGTGGGGTTCGTGTTGGACCCGAGAGTTGAGCTATCTTATTTCACGACAGTTTCGAGGTGAGTTATCCTCACTATACTAAGGGGGTCTAAGGCACCAAGGCCGGCCCATTGGAGATGATATCCTAGTAGTTGTATTATGTTGATTCGAAGTTAGTTATGCATGCTAGTTTGATACGCTTGAGGGTAGGACTGTAGGACTACCTGTGATACTGATTGATTTCCGGTATGTGCATTATCTGTTACATGTGATATGTTATGTGGGATGGGTTCAGGCTGTACTGCTCCGTGCGGTAGCCAACAAACCCTAGAGTATTCCAGATATGATCTGAGGGCCCGGTAAGCATTCCAGACTCATACTGAGGACTAGGGGGCATTCCAGATACGAGCTGAGGGCCCGGTAGGCATTCCAGACGCGTACTGAGGGCTCGATAGCAATCCAGATGTGAGCTGAGGGCCCGGTAGGTATTCCATACTCACACTGTGGGCCTAGGGGTATTCCAGTCTGTAAAGTTGTGGACCCGTTATGTGCTTTTTTGCTCAGTTTGTTACGATATGTTAACGTGTGACACGGTTATGTGGACTGTATGTGTATCGGTATTTTGGGGGTAACTCACTAAGCTCTCGGGCTTACAGTTTCAGTTTATTGTTTCAGGTACCTCAGGGGATCGCAGCAAGGCAAAAGCATGATCGTACAGCTCCTCCTATTGTGTTATGTTTCTGGGAAAACTATGATATAAATGTATTTTGAAAACAAAGTTGTAATGTTTTGACGAATTCGACGTGTTTTTGAAAGTTTAAATTTGGCTTAAATTTTTGAGTGTTACAAAATGTAAATGTAGTCATGAAATGCGCCTACTTAATCAAGATTCCCCTAATAAATATTCAAGTGCATTACAAAGTTATACATGCATGAATAATGTTCTTTCGTAGGTTATGTTTTGAAGAGAAGCAAGAATGAATCTCAAAAAGTCATTAATATCAGTAGGAGATGATGTGGGATTTGTTGTAAATGAGTAAAGGGAAAATGAATCAGGAGGGTAACCAACTGTTGCGTTTGTTCTCATTTGGTCCCTTTCCTTTTTTTGTACTCAATATACCATCGAACTTGTTGTTTGTGTTCACCATAACCCTTTGACCGGCTATCACAGGTCAAAAGCCGGTCAAAAGGGCTATGGTAAACACCAACAACAAGTTCGATGGTATATTGAATACAAAAAAAAAAAAAGGGACCAAATGAGTACAAACGCAAAAGTTAATTACCCTCAAGAGTCATTTTCCCTAAGTTTAACAAGCACAACAATTTATCATCTAATTAATAAGAAAAGTTATTCAAATTTTAATATATCTTAAGAAAAATAAATTTGGGTATTTGTATATTTGAAAACATTGAAATTTTGAAAATTTTGGAGAAAACTTTAAATTTTAATTTTTAATTTTTTTTTTATATATTAGTTGAACATTGAAATACTATGAACTTTTGAAATTTTGAAAATTTTAAAATAATATTTTAAAATTTGAAAATTTGAAATTTTGCCCGATTAGGCCGCCTAGGACCGATTAGAACCGTCTAGCTCCGACTTTGACCCACTTTGACCAAAACCGATTAAGCCGACCGATTAGCCTTAATCCTATTCGGTTGTAGATCGCCTAGCAATTAATCAGCCGTCTAGATCGATTTTTACAATACTGATTTATATTAACATACATTCACTACAAATAAAATGGTAATTAGTGGCACAGAAAAAGTGTCACTAAAAAAGCAAGCTAAGACGAAGGTGACAAACGAGATATAGGGCATCGTTGTGGAGGCTGAAGGTGGCAACGATGATGCATGATAGAGGTAGAGATGGTAGTAGTTGGCGTAGTGGCTAGAAAGAGATCGAAGGCGGTGGCTAAAAAAAGGCCGGCCACAAAGGCTAGAACTAAAGGTGGTGGTTCTTTAGGGAGAAAGTGGAGAAATATGGTAACCGTGAAGAGAGAAATTTGTGGAAGGTGGTGGATTTTAGGGTTAAGATAGTATATTTCTAGTAAGTATAAATTATTTTAGAACTTTGAAAAAAAAAAAGGTTTAAACATAGAAAAAATAGGAATTTCAAATCAAAATTATTAAATAAAATTAAACCAAAAATCCACGTAAATAATGTTTTTCTAAAAGTATACTGAGGCCATATTCAATGGATTAAACCTATGAAGAGTTGTATGGATTGCTATGTAGGAAAGAGAATATATACATTCAATTTAATTATTAAAAAACTCATAAGTTTTCAATACAATTCTATTGCACCGTTCAATAGCTATTAAACTTACACTCTCTCTCCTTTATATTATATTAGGGATGAGCAAATGGACCGGGGAACCGGCCGGAACCGGTACCGGAACCGGAACCCGATGGAACCGGTCGGGCCGGGACTGGGACATTATTTTTGTGGATTTTTGGAACCGGGAACCGGTAGGAACCGGAACCGATAGAACCGGAACCGGTAGAACCGGCAAAAACCGGAACCGTATTATGCTATTTTTCAAGGATCGGTTCCAGCATTTGAAGACACGACAAGAACCGGTAGAACCGGAACCGATAGAACCGCCGGGCCGGTTCGGTTCTTGATTTTGGTCGAAGCCGGTTCCCGGTTCCGGTCCGGTTCAGGCCGGTTCCAGCCGGTTCGATCCTTTTGCTCATCCCTATATTATATTCACATTTAATCTATTAAATTCTCATACAACTACCATTGTGGATGGCCTAAATACACAAGATATATTAATGACAAACTAATTTTTAGCAACCCAATGTATAGTGTAATTTTGTGTAAACCCCTTAACAAGGTAACTAGGAATTTTGTCTTATCCTCTTCACAAATACTATAAGTCACTGTGAAACCTGAAAAGTGAAAGCTCACAGATTACTTTATTTTGAAATTTGACTGTAATGGACGGCAAAGCAAACAATGCACCGGCGATCGGCATCGACCTCGGAACAACTTACTCATGTGTCGCTGTTTGGAAGCATGAACGCATCGAAATCATTCCTAATGATCAAGACAGAACCACACCGTCTTCTGTTGCTTTTGCTGATGCAGAACGTCTCATCGGCGATGGCGCCAAGAACCAAGCGACCATGAACCCTGCTAACACCATATTTGGTAAGCTTGTCTAGTTTTTCTTGAATGCTGTTATTCTTATTATGATTAAGCATACGAAACTTCCACATTCATCAGAAGGAATAGTAAGAATCATACCAGTAGATTAGAATCGTGAAAACCGGAGTTCGATATTCCGAAAATTGTTCCTGAATAACATTTCTGCAAAGTAAACTAGATTTAAATCTAGTGAACTCTTTGATCGTTGTTATAAACTAATTTTTAAAGCAAATTTACCCCAATTTCTCCATTTTAGGGTTTTTATTTTATTTTATTTTATTTTTCGGTTTGGATGTGCATGATTGTGATGAAAACTAACTAAATAACACCATGAACTGCTTTTTATTTGGAAATGGTGGAAAGTCTCGGTCGCATTAAGCACAAGGTTTAGCTAGTTTAGCTTTTATTCCGTTAAATTGAGATATCTACTAAATGTTTGTTTGCGTATTCTACTACATATTAGTTTGTCTTTTATATGTCAACCAAGAAATATACTCCTAGAGCTGTTTTAGGTAATCAAAACCCTTACTGATTTAATATTATAGTTGGTTTTCTTCATTTCACTTGGCTATTTGCTTAACTAACTGTGGATATTCAGATGCTAAGAGGTTGATTGGAAGGAGATTCAGTGATTCCAAAGTGCAGGATGACATGAAATTGTGGCCATTTAGGGTCATACAAGGGCCTGTCCATACACCAAAGATTGTTGTCACCTACAAAGGTGAAGAGAAGGAATTTTTGGCTGAAGAAATTTCATCGATGATTCTTGGGAAGATGAAAGAAACCGCTGAGGCATACCTTGGAAAAGTTGTAAAAGATGCTGTGATAACGGTTCCGGCTTACTTTAACGATTCACAACGCCAAGCAACAAAGGATGCTGGAGCTATTGCTGGACTTAATGTCATGCGAATCATCAATGAGCCAACAGCAGCTGCAATTGCTTATGGTCTAGACAATAAGTCTGACATTAATGGCAAGATCAACGTGCTTGTCTTTGATCTAGGTGGTGGGACTTTTGATGTATCTATATTGACCATTGCCAAAGGGGATACGATTGAGGTGAAAGCTGTTTGTGGTGACACTCATTTGGGAGGTGAGGATTTTGATAACCGCATGGTGGATTATTGTGCTCGGGAGTTCAGGAGGAGATCGAACAAGGATTTGACCGGGAACAAAAGAGCATTGGGGAGGTTGAGATTTGCTTGTGAGAAAGCAAAAAGGATTCTCTCATGTAGTACTCAGACTTCAATTGAACTAGATGGCTTGCATGAGGCCATTGATTTCTCCATGAAATTCAGTCGAGCTAAATTTGAAGAGCTCAACATGAGTTTCTTTAGTAAATGTATTGAGATTGTGGAGGAATGTTTAAGGGAAGCGAAGATGGAGAAATCATGTGTAAATAAGGTAATTCTTGTTGGTGGCTCAACTAGAATCCCAAAGGTCCAGTGTATGTTGGAGGAACTCTTTGGCAGGAAGGAGCTGTGCAAGAGCTTGAACCCTGATGAGGCAGTTGCATATGGTGCAGCTGTTATGGCTGCAAAGTTAAGTGGTAACAATCACAAGAGTTGTTGTTATTGGATGTCACTCCTTTGTCTCTTGGTGTGGACATAATAGGAGAATTATTTAGTGTTGTGATCCCACGAAACACTCCAATACCTACAAAGCAATCAAAATATTTTTTTACAAGTGAGGACAACCAAACTTGGGTAGATGTTAACGTGTATCAAGGTGAGCGAACCAGATCTACAGATAACCATTTGTTGGGGACGTTCATGATTTCTGAAATACCACCCGCTCCAAAAGGAGTTATAAAATTTATGGACACCTTTGAAATAGATGAGAATGGTATCCTCACAGTCACGTCGGAGATAATATTAACCGGTAAGACAGAGAAACTAACTATTACTAACAAAAATGGAAGACTTTCAAAGAAACAGATCGAGAAGATGGTAAAAGATGCTGAGAAGTACAAACAAGAGGACCAAGAATACAAGAAGAAAGCAGATGCGTTTAATGCATTGGAGGATTGCATATACAACATGAAGAATAAGATAAAAAGTATGAAGAAAAGTAGGAAGTTGAGGAAAATGGAGGATGCCATTGTTGACACGGCCAATTGGATCAAGCACAACCAAGCTGCATCTGTTGATGAGGTTCAACGCATGAAGGAAGATCTCGAGACTATATGCAAGTGAGAATTTTAGTTCCCAAATCATGGCCGTTGTTTCAGTTTTATTAGTTGTGAACGAGATCATGAAATCTGTAGTGCTATTTCGGCTGCATGTGATTTTGGTACATTATGTGGTTGTTTAATTTAATTATTTTTACATAACACACTTGATTATATACTTTTAAGGTTCATTTTTCTTTTTTTTTGAGTGGAGGTGCATAAATGGACCTAAGCCTGGAATGATTTTGTAATTGGTTGGCTGATTTTTCCATAGATTTCTTAAAGAATTGTCGAAACTAATTAAATCTGGTTGTTGCGAAATTGAAGCACAAGTGTTCCATCTTCCACCTTAAGAACACAAGTTTTACACCTTTTTTTTTTTTTTTTTTTTTTTTTTACCGTTATGTGTGACCCTTTTCAAATTGCTATTTTTTGAATTTTGACATTTCTTTTAAACAAACTACCATAAATACCATACTTTGTATCACACATTTCACACCACCACTACATTAAAGTTATACAAAAACTCAAACCGTTGAATTTCAAAAATGAATCCGAACAAACCTCCTTCCAATCTTTCACCCCCAAGATCCGGTTGAAACAAATTGTGTGCAAATATTTGTCCTCTGGATCGGTTAGTTTATTGACCCGCAACATGGATGATCTCACTGAAACGAGTTTGATATGGTTTCGAGGTTAGATAGGAAATCATGAAAAAAAAAAAAAATCTTACAATTAGTCTTATTTTGTAGTGTTTTTATTTAATTATCGTTTTAAATTAAATTAATGGATAATTTATCTTTTATTATTATAAATATGTATTTTAAATATTTATATAGTTAATAAATTAAATTTAAAAAAGAAAAAGAAAAAAATGTGGTGAAGTGCGGTACAATTTCTATGAGTTTTATGGTGTGAGAAGAAAATTATACAATTCTAACATGGCAAACCAAAAATATAATAAAATATGGTAACATTCACGGATCTGAGGTAAGATTTGATGTTGACTTTAACAAGAAGTTTGATCGTTGATAAATTTCTAAGTCAAACTTGGACTTGGCAATGGATGAATTGAAGAAAGAACTTGACTTTGATAGTGGCGAGTTTAGAATTTAAACAATATGATTCATTATTTTTTATATATAAACTTTTCTATACAAATTCAAAGTTTTTTTTTATAAATAAAGTAGGTCCTTAAATTTTTTTTTTCTTTTAAGATAGGTCCCTAAAAATTTTCTATAGAAATTATAGATAAATAATAATAAAAAAAAAAAAGATAGATATTAAGACCGACCTTCCTTATACCTAGGTCCCTAAAAAAAAAAAATTTCTTTTAAAGTAGGTCCTTAAATTTGTTTGTTTGTTTGTTTGTTTTTTTTTTTTTCGATCTTCACCATCACCTCCAACGTATCTTTCCATGTAAATATATCTTATCACGCTTATATTAGTCATGCATAAGAGATAGATATAAGCCTAGTTAGATCTAAGTCCAAGTTGTTGATCAATTAATTGAGGAGAGTAAGAGCAATGTAGGAAAAGATGGGCATCACTTTATTTTGTAACGCAGTTCCATTTTTTTTTCTCCTTTATGGAACTTGAAATTGAAAAACTAGTAAAATTGAATAGGTCTTTGTTCCACTCATTTCTTTTTGTTTTATGTATCAAACAATGCCTAAGAGACAAACCCAAAAAAAAAAAATGATATGATTAGGGGGTGTTTGCGATTATTTTTTAAAACAACTTATTGATATTATTTTGAGAAGTTAAGAAGTAAAAAAAATGTTTGTCTAACTCAAAAAGATTTTTCAAAATAGTTTTTCTATTAGCTTTAATAAGAGATTTTAGACGGTATGTAAAACCTGATTTTTATAATTGTTTTTAGCTTTTTAACTATTACAGTTCAAAAATGACAACTTATAAGCAAAACACCTTTTAACTTCATGACTTATTTGTTTTTGTGGTGAAAAGCTATAAAAAAAAACTCTTTTTTGCTATCTTAATAAATCAATAAATACTTTTGCACAAAAACATTTTTTGAATTAAAAAATGAATCCCAAGCACCCCTTACGCAGTACGGATTTATAAATATCAATTGCAATAGATAAGTTAGTTTAATACTTTAAATTGACCATTGGTAATATAAGTTACGGTGAAAAGTGAATGCACACAATTACTTTACTGAGAAAATGACACTTACGTCCTATAAAATTTCTAATCCTTTTAGTCATTTAAGGTTTTTCATGGCTTTATGAAGGAACCAAGTTGTGGACAACCTGTCCTTTTAGTCCCCTTAACTTGTTTTAGTCGGTTTAAGGGACATATAGACAAGATTTGGGGCCCACCCATCTCTCTCTCTCTCTCTCTCTGGGTAAACCTCTTCTAAACAAAACCGACAGCAACCCCGTTTGCCGCATCGCCTCTAGTCGCCTCCCATCTTCCTCTCCTCAGCTGAAAACAACCACTTTAACCACCACCAGCTCTCACCATTGCAAGTCGAACCCAGATCTTGTTGCAATCGAGCCACGCCGTCTTCTTTCTTTTGCTCTTGCATTTATTCCTGAGGTCGTTACTGCAACTTTGAGCTTCTTGAGCTTTCTGCAAAGCGACCTCCAAAACCAACATCCTGATGATAATTAAGTAAACTGCATGATGAAGAGATTGCATGTTGTAACGTACTTACGTAAGATGCATATTTTATATGCTTTCACTCATAAATCGTCTACTTTACTTAACTTAGATCATAGCATTATGTGTAAACGTAGATAACATGTGTTGACTATAACGTATATATAACAAGAAAGATTTAAGGGACATATAGACAAGATTTGGGGCCCACCCATCTCTCTCTCTCTCTCTCTCTCTCTCTCTCTCTCTCTGGGTAAACCTCTTCTAAACAAAACCGACAGCAACCCCGTTTGCCGCATCGCCTCTAGTCGCCTCCCATCTTCCTCTCCTCAGCTGAAAACAACCACTTTAACCACCACCAGCTCTCACCATTGCAAGTCGAACCCAGATCTTGTTGCAATCGAGCCACGCCGTCTTCTTTCTTTTGCTCTTGCATTTATTCCTGAGGTCGTTACTGCAACTTTGAGCTTCTTGAGCTTTCTGCAAAGCGACCTCCAAAACCAACATCCTGATGATAATTAAGTAAACTGCATGATGAAGAGATTGCATGTTGTAACGTACTTACGTAAGATGCATATTTTATATGCTTTCACTCATAAATCGTCTACTTTACTTAACTTAGATCATAGCATTATGTGTAAACGTAGATAACATGTGTTGACTATAACGTATATATAACAAGAAAGATTTATGATTGATTAAATGACTGGAAAAGAGAAGAATCGATTTTATCGACGGTTGCAAAGCTATAAGTTGTGAAACCGCCGCCGACACTCCGGGAACCAGTGATAATGGTGTATCTAGCTCCATCACCAAGGAACATGATATTATTTAGATCATTTACCATCTCGATGTTCTCCTTATAAACTCCTCTCTTTATGTAGATGATATATCTTTTGTTCCGACGATTATAACCTGCTGCATATTTTAGAGCCGATTGAATGGTTCAGAACTTACTCCCACGGGCCTGAGACACGACCAAATTAGCCTTTGTGTGAAGTGAACCTGTCTGTAACAATTTTCGGTCGCCGGGTGTAACCCAAGTCGTAAAATCATTATCTAGCTCCCGATCATCATCACTCGCTGACTTTTAAATTTGCTTCAAGAAAAACTGGTTTATTGCCAAAATATTGCTTATCATCTCAGTAAGGTTATGCGATTTGAGTGGAGAGACAAAGTTTGTCAAATTTAAGTCTTGAGAACCCGAAAACAAGTTTCGAGATTCGTGAGAGCAGCACTGAGCCATGTTTGAGCATCAAACACATTGACAATACATGTAATTTACTCAAACACATTTAAGTGTTGAATGTTGTAGATTACCTCAAACACATTGACAATACATGTAATTTACTCTTAAAACTTGCTAAGGTGCTAATCTCCGACATGATGAAGTTTCCGGTGAGGAGGCAGACAGCAGGGAGATTGATTGGAGTTGATCCTTTGAAAGCGGGGCTGTACTGACTGAAAAAGATCTCGACTGAGCCTAGGGCCCACTGGAGGACTTGGTTTAGACGATCCGAGAGATTGATTGGAGCTGATCCTTTGAAAGCGGGTCGTTTTGGCATACAGTATGTCGACCTCCATCCACGACAACAACAATGATAATGGGTGGGTGTGGGTTGTGTTGGCAGCCCAAGAGAACATGATGGTGGGTGCTGGAGTCGATTACAATTCAGTGGGAGGGAGGGAAAAGTTGACTTTCACAAAGTCCAAGTAATCCATAGAAAAGTTGACTTTCACAATGTGTCAAAGAAATAACCGGGTGACTCCTTCATTTTGGCCAAAAGGATGTAATCGACCCGACAAACACAACTTCGTTCCCTTATAAGGCCACAAAAATTGTTTAGGGACTAAAAAGATCAACCCTAGAAACTTTATAGGGCGTGTGTGTCATTTTCCCTTACTTTATTTTGAATTTTGACTTGTAAAATGGAAGGGAGAAGAAGAGGAAAAGGGCATACTATTCACCAATCCATCGTTACTATAAGCAATGGCTGTAAAAGAGCAAACACACAATTGCTTTCTTAAGATAATACAATGGATCATGCATAGTAATGTTATATCCCTAGATCTATAAATGTAGCCTTCAAAAGAATTAGTTTACCATATAAAAAAGCATAACGACGCAACTTGTTGCTCATTTGTCATCTCACTACGATGATAACTAAGTCTTTATTATTATAATTTTAAAATTGCTTTGATTCGCATTTTGACTGTAAGGCTGATGGGAGTGGGTTTGACAAATGACTCGGTATGCTTGGCGAACACCGGATCGAGGCATCAGCATGCCGAGCTCGGCTTGAAAATTCGGTGAAATTTTACTGATAAGAGAGAAGTATTCAATACCTATTTTTTTTCTTTTTACCATTTACTCAAATTCCTTTTTTCAAAAAATATCATCTTTTCAAAAAGATACCCCCTTTTCAAAAATATAACTGTTTTTTTTTTCTTTCAAAATTTTAAATTTTAAACCGTAAATCATCAAATATAAATACCATCATCCTTATTCATTATTTACCATATTCAAATCTTCTTAATTCAATTCACCTAACTTGCTTATTCTCCATCTTCTTCAAAACCTAATCGCTAATGGCTCGTGTGGTTCGTGTTTCGTCCCTTAAATAAGAGATGTCACTGGCTCTCATGGGTTGATGTAACAGAAGACCCGATCCACATTAACCTCCCTACGACAACTTTTTGGAGGAGAGTCACCAAAAAATACAACCGCCAAGCCCTTGTAACTTGACGTAAATAAGAAATCTACTCTAAAGGGAGGCAAGCAAACACACTTGCAACTCAGTTTAACAATGTATTTCGTAGGGTGATGCATGATGCCCAAAATTATGAAAATGAAAGTGTCATAAAAGACCTTAAGTTTTCCAAAAAAGTGTCGGTTTTACCCTTGGATGAGTTTTGGGGGTAATAAAGCCAGATACTTTCACTAAATGTTTCAAATATCTCATTTAAGAGGTTGCACCCTTAGTAGTCGGTTACCCATGTGTTGGTTTGGTACTTAACTGAGGAGTTGGTACATCCGTTTACATGGAGCAGTGTACCTATCACTTACCTCAACTTTTTGCACGTAAACGTACACTTTCTCTACACTTTCTCATAATCCTTCAGAAAATCGACATCATTCATCGTAAATTTAGGGATTTTTGAAGAAGATTACGTTATTGGAGAAGATCAGGTTATTAGAGAGTCGATTTCACAGGGTATATGTAATTTCTTTGAAGATTGTGTTATTATAGTTCTTTGTTCTTCAGTGGTTAAGGAATAACGATAATGTGTGTTTTTTCAGGTTGTTTTGATGGATTGGGATTCAAAAGACAAAGACAACACATACCCTTTTATTGGTTTACACGAGCCTTTCTCTAATCTTAATGAGATGGAATTTGAGGTTCACGGCATCTACATGGATCATGAACCAGACGAAGAGTTCATTACTCCACTGGACAAGTGTAAGGATGCGTTTCTTAATGTGTTACTAACTGATGAAAATATTAGAAACTCTAGTTTGACTAATGATGTAAGAGCACAAATGTATCATGGTGATGAATTGAAAACTGATGAAGATGAAGAAGAGCAAGACCAGTTGAAAAACAAATACATAATACATGATCCAAAAACAAGATGGGACAAAATGGAACCAAAACTTAGTGACATTTTTGAGAATGTTACACAGCTGAAGTTTTGTATCCAAAACTACACAATCCACAATTGGTATCAACTCTACCTTGAAAAGTGTGACAGTAGCAAAATACTTTTAAGATGTGGGAAAAGAAATGAGGATAATGCTTGCCCTTTTAGACTATATGCCTCATGGATGTTCAATGAAAGATCTATTCAAGTCAAGACTTTAGAAGCTACTCATGCTTGTGGTAGGAAGTTCAAACTTGGCTCTATGGTTACTCCTGAATGGATAGGTGGACACTACATAACTGAAATTGCAAATAAACCTAAGGTGAAGCTTAAAGAGATTATTACTGACATCAAACAAAGGTTTAGGTGTAGTGTATCTATAGGCCAATGCGTAGGGAAAATAAATGGGCCAAGGAGCTAATTAAAGGTAAATTAACTGAACATTATGCTAGAATATAGGATTATGCACAAGTGTTGTTAAGATCTAATCCAGGCTCTACATGTAAGGTGTGTGTAACTATCAATCCATATGGGATAAACTATTTTCATAGGTTTTATATTGGTTTCAAAGCTATATGTGAAGGTTGGAAAAGAGGGTGTAGATGAGTTATTGGTTTGGATAGGTGCTTTTGATGGGTTTTGAGCACTATAACAACCCTATGGTGCACATACAACCCTAATGCTTTGGATATAAGTTTTCTCAAGTTATACATGCAATTTTCATATTATCCAAAGCATGGACCCTAACTAGCATACAATTTTGAGATTTACAACATAAAACAAGTTAGATTAATACCTCTATGTTATAGCTTGTAGAACTTGGCCTTTCAAGAGCTTAGTACCTCAAATGTGATACCTCAAATAAGTCACAAACACCAAGAACAATGGAGGAATATGAGATAGAGGCTAGGAGGCACCCAAAAATCAGCTAGGGTTTCTTCTTGGAAGTCATGGCCGATTTTAAGGGTGTCAGGGGTTACATTTATAGTGTGGAATTCCTAGGGTTTCTTATATAAAACCCTAATTTACTTAAGCCTTTAAGTATTCCAATAATCCATATGATAGGCCCTTTGGACTAACTCTTCATATACTCTCACATAGATTTAGTCCATCCCTAGTCAACATGGATCATTAGCCCAAACAATAAGTATTACTGATTTACCTAATCAGTCCCTATAAATTTAATTAGTCTCTTTTGATCACTAAATTAATTCCAAATTAATTATTGATCAATATCAATTAAATAATATGATTTCACAATTAATATATTATTATTATAATATATTAATAAATCACAAATAACCTCTTTCTGAGATATCCATCCTATTAAATTGTTCCGGTGAAGGAAACCCAAAAGGACCATGCTACTATCAGGTCAAGTACATGCCGCTTATAGTTATGAGCTTAGACACCTAATCCAAAAGTCACTACAAGAAAAGACCGTTTTATGACGTGCAAACCACGACACTCATTGATTTATGTTACGCAAAAGAGAGTGACATTAAAAAAGTGTTATCTCTTCAAAAAATTTAAGGATTTAGGTCACACATTATTGTGTGCCCTTAAATTAGTGTCTTATGTAAAAAAAATTAAAAATACAAAGGGCACTTGTGCGCCCTCTGTGAATGTCGTTTTATATTTTTGTTTTAAGTAATGCGCATCTCCTTAGAGGGAAAATGAAATCCCAAATTTTTAAAACCCCCGCCTTCCAAATCAATCCTCACACTAAATGGTTAGGCGACTATAACTCCTTTCAATTGTAGCGGAGATCGATAGCTACGACCGTCAATCGAAGCTACCAGTTGAACAACCCCTAATCGACACATCCACCATATCGTCCATCCTTCTCCACCAAGGTTCTTTTACGCCTGGAAATTTTGTAACTTATATTTTTCTTTACCATTTTATTTTACTTTTTCCATAATTATCTCACATGAGAAAACCCCCCCACCTGTTTCCAAACACTTCTTCTCTCTCCAATGACGGACATCATCGGCAACACACCTACTGTTGGAAAATGTATCTACTATTCAATCGTGGATCCTAGTCTCAAGAATAAATGGAAACAGTGGACGCATGCGTTCCGGAAGTTCGAACCGAAGGTAAACCTGCTGTTGCAGAGGAATTATGGAAAAATGTTGATCAAATCATCGTGAAGGTTGATGAGGTACGCTTTTTGTTTCTGAATCTTCGTATAATTTTTCCCAGTTTATATACACTCCATCTTCTTAGGTTACATAAGAATGACGTATGGTTGAGTCAAATAAAGATTTCTTTTAACAGATTCAACAATAATCCAAATAAATTCATCTTTTTACTAGAACGCTCCAGTCAACCAAGCATCAAATTATCATCAGTTCACATTGTAATCATATTCGATAGTGATTTTAATCCAACAAACGATAGTCGAAAATTATCAATCGATTCCAATTCACAACAAAAACAGATAATGATTTTTCGTTTGTATTCCAAGAACACATTAGAAGAAAAGATCTTAAAACTTTCTCAACAAAATGTTGTTGTTGATAGTAAGTTGAGTAGGTTGACTTGTGATGCTTTGTTAATGTGCGGTGCGAAGAGTTGTTTAAAAACTTGGAGAAGTTTCATAGTGAATCTGGAAAGGATATTTCATCTGAAGGAAACTTGTTAAAGGATGTAATGGAGGAGTTTTTATATATAATTTCCAGCAAAGGTAAAAGTAAAGCTGAAGAAAAGTCAATGATCACTAAAGTTCAAACCTGTGGGTATTATGGGAATAGAAATATGCCCTGTGGTGAGATTAAAAATCAGTTGCTTGATGAAGAACAGCTACATGTTTTTTGGAGAAATTTATTGGAGGGAAAATACCCTCAATGGAAATTTGTACATGTGTCAACTTCAAGACAAAGAAAAAGAACACAATATTATGGTGAAACATCCGACATAATTTCCCCTGTTGCTCATGCTGTAAAGAAGCGTAAGAAGTCTCCGGCTTCAAGGCCTGTAGAATGGGGGACCGGAGGGGCATATGAAGGTAAATTAACAATATTTTAATTTATTTACGTGCATTGGGTTTTATAATAAATAATTCAGATCTTGTTTCAGGTATCAATGACGAGTCTCAATCATCTCCTAAGCTTCTACATCCCATTGTGCATGAGCTTTGTAAAATCCTAAAGTTTCAGGTAGGTTACTTTTTGACAATAATACAAATGTAACATTTTTAATTATATTTTCTTGACTAAAAAAATAAAAATACAGGAGGATGTCAAGAACAAAGTGGACGGATTTGTTGATTTTGTTGTCAAGAATTATAATGTCAGTAGGGAAGATACTTCTACTCTACAGGCCTTCATGATATCACTGGTACGAACTTTTTTTAAAGCCCTATTTTTTCACATTATTAATGTATTTAATTTTAATGAATTCATTCATCGTTTCAGTGTTGGATTGGGGCCTCACTTGCAAAACATGAAGGGAGTCTTTTGACCTTGCAAAAAAGCAATTGAATTTTAATTGTAAGGAAGAACAGGTGAGTTCTGTTCACTTGAAGCTTAAATCTTTTATTTCCACATGTTTCTCTCTTGTCTCTATTTTCTTTAAGCTATAAGCACAGAGTCAAAGTCAATCGAGCAGAAAATATCAACTGAAAGTCAACAGAATCAAAATGTTGAAGTATCAATTGCAAAAATTTTGGAATCTACTGAAAATCTAAGTGAAGGGAAGGAGGAGTTTAATACGGAATGGGATGACAGAAGGGCATATTTGGAAAATGAGTACAAAGTGGATCAAGCTATTATTCGTTATTTGTATAAGAACCCTTCAATAAGATCAGAGAAGTTAAGATTATTAGACAAAGAATTTGTGAAAAAAATTGAAAAACATGAAAGAGATAAAGATCACTACAAAAAATATGTCATTTAGTGATGTGCAGTGACTTGGAAAACTTCCAAACAGGAGACGGTGGCAGACTCTACCTTTGAGTCTGAGTACATTGCTACAAGTGATGTCTCTAACAAAGTTGTTTGGATTACACACTTCTTAGGATACCTTGTAGTTGTTTCGAGTAACAAAGAATCGTTGAATATATTATGTGATAACGAAGCTGCAATCTGTAACAACCCAAAAATTTTAAAAGAAATTCAAACTTTCCAAAAACCATCTTTACACAATTAAAAGTTATTCAAACATCAACAAGTTCTAATTGTTTCCAAAATGTTTTCATATCAGAGTTCCCAGAAATCCAGAATCATAAAAACGGGGATGTGTACGTCACGCCTTCGCCTTGCCATGGTCAACTGATGTACCTGAAACAATAAACGATAACATGTAAGATCGAAGGCTTAGTGAGTTACCCCCAAAATACCAACCTCTAGCATCCAATACAAAAAGAATAATAATTAACAGCATGCATAATGAGCATTCAGCATGACTAGACCGACTCCTACGGGCCTACAGCCTATCTGGACCGCTCTCGAGCCTTCGGTATGACCGGACCATCTCCTACGAGCCTATAACCTATCCGGACCGCTCTGGGTATGTTGGCCTCAACCGCACAAAGCAGGACACTGCCTCAACCCAACCCATCCATATATGTCGATATATATAAATGTTAGAAAAAGGGATGAATAGATTGCTTGGATTCTCTGAAAGTCGTGATTCACTATCAAATTGAAGTATTTTGATGGTACAGATCGAACACTCAATTGGATGAAATTCAAAGAATGAAATTTGAGAATGTATATGAAAATGTTCTTCAACATGTACCAGAATATTGACCAAAAAACGGATATATCAATCCTGTCTGAAAACTGTCAACAGACAGTTACAAACTGTCATAAAACTACCAAACTGTCATTAAACGGATGTCATGGAATAAAGGGTCAACTTTCTGAAATTGGATTTTTGATGCAATTTTTAATATAGCAACATAGTAAAGATCGAACACTCTGCCCCTTGGACCCCGCCAAGGGGCGCTGCCCCCGGACCCCCGTTCGTTTAGGGGCTTCGCCCCTAAATAGCAATGTACTTTAAATCCTGAAAAACTTGAACAAGTGTGCACTCCTACACCATCCTAACTTGTTCAATATTCAACAAGATCACTTTTTGTCAACAAATTTAATCCTATTACACTTAAATAATATTTGATGATATAAAATCACCAACAATAAATAGCACATAATCATACAATAAACACAGATCATACTAACGGCTAACATAGTAGCACCAAACGTCAATTGTTAGATTTTGATGTTTTTTTTTCCAGATTTGAAAGTTTTTTTTAGTTTTATTCTTTAATAATAAATGTAATTCTTAGCAATTGTTACATGTATTCTATAAGAATTAATGTAATTTTCTTAATTCTTTAATTGATGGTTCGAGAATTTTATTATTCTACAAGCAATTTTTAAAGTCATGATCAAGAAATATGTTCAAAAATATTTTTATTATTTTATGGTTCAAGAATATTTTTATTTTTGAACATAGTCAAACGTATTCTGTCAGAATGTCCGAATTAAAAACCTTATAATTCGTAAAATCTAATTTTTAAAATTAATAGAATCTATGATGCCTTAAAATATGCAAATTTCCTTTATTAAATCTGTATTAATTGACTAAAATACCTTTCTAGTTAAATTAGATGATATTTTTCAATTATATTTAATTCAATAATAGGTGTTAATCACTTTCGTAAAATAAGTAAAATGATTGGTCCATATTTATGCATACAATAACACAATAATTACTTTGAATATAATAACCTAAGCCTATATATATATATATATATATATATATATATATATATATATATATATATATATATATATATATATATATATATATATATTAATTGATTTGTATTAAATGTTTGGGAAAAATAAACAAAAAACGAGGTATGGTATTCAAAACTTAAAATTATATTGAATGCGTTAGTTTCGATTGCGTATACGGGTGCACGAATGTGTATATTAGCCATAATTTGGTAAATATATAGTAATTGATGTGTAATTAAGGTGTGAGGAAAATAAAAGCGGAAAACACGATGTTTGGTGCTCAAAAAATGACAAATTAGACTTGAAATGTTGGTTCCGATGATGTATACGGGTGTACATGTGGGTGTATTAGTTATATTTTGGTAACTATATCGTAATTAATGTATTATATAGGAGTAGGAAAAATAATGCGGAAAAAACGATGTGTCTTCGAAAACTAGAAAATTAGAACTCTTCTGTCGGAAATTCGTTGGTAATTTCTGATGGATTAGCAGATTATCAGAATCCGTAGCTAATCTGTCGGTAATTACCGACAAATTTCCAACAGAACAATTATAATTTTCAAGTTTTCGAACATCATGCGCCATGTTTTCCGTTTTAGTTTTCTCACAACTCTATTATGCATCAATTACTATATATTTACCAAATTATAGCTAAGATACACATACGTATATTTGTGTACACCATCAGAAGTAACTTTTCATTTCTAATTTTGTAAGGTTTTGAGCACCAAACGTCAATTTTTATCCTTTTTTTTCTCACACCTTTATTATACTCCGGTTAGTATAGATTGAGCAAATTATAGCAAATATAGTAAATACAACCGTATACACCATTAGTATCCCATTTATTAATATGTATTTAAATGTTAAAAAGCATAAGATTAGTACAAATTAAACTCCAATGTTGTGTACAAGTGTCCGTACATATATATTAGCTATTATTTGGTAAATGTATACTAATTGATGTGTAATAAAGGTGTGAGAAAAATAAAAGAGGCAAACCCGATATTTGGTGTTCGAAAACTTGAAAATTAAAATTGAAACGCTGATTCTAAGGATGTACATGGGTGTATATATGAGTGTATTAGCTATAATTTATTAACTATATCAATTCATGTATTATATAGGTGTGAGAAAAGTAAAGCAGAAAAAAACAACATATGATGCTCGAAAACTTGAAAATTAGAACTCTTGTGTAAGAAATCTATCTGAAAATCTATCTGTAATTAATGGACATGATTATTGCTACAAATAAGGTAGTGTACAGTGAGTCAAAGAACGAATGAATGAAATGTTTCAAAAGTTGAAAAAACCATACCGCATGTACCATTGCGTTATGTATTGCTAATAAACAATATTTTTGGACAATGAAGTGTTAGTAGATCAACTATCTGTGACTTTTGTAGCATGAGTGAGATAGGCTCATAAACGAAAGGAGTAACTAATTAATATATATCAACACTAAATATGACATACGAACCAAAACATGCTTAGGAACCTAATATGGATTATGGAAAGTTTTGTGAATAAAGGACTTGGCCATTCTTTCATTAAATCAAAAAATTAATTATATTACATTATTAGTTGAATTGCCAAATTTTTTAGCCAAGTTGTGATAAACAGAATAATTCGGTTTAATGCCAACCAAAGAGTTTTATAAACCTTACACAACTAAAATTTAAGTTTATGAACCAAGTATTGATTAGTAGAACCTTGTGCAGGTTAATCAAATTGAGGCTACTTCATACTTTATGCTGTGGAGATTTTTGTACATTTTCCATCATGTAAATTTTCTCACTATACTTTATACTCTAGTATGGATAATCTGTATGTTAAGATGTTAATATGTTGTAATGATCCGCTAGACAGGTATATGTGTTAATAATTACTTGTGAATGTTTGTTTGGTAATTGTCTGTTTGGTTTTTTCTCACACCCCTAGTAATATGTGTTACCCCTTTCAACCAACTATTTCTGTCAATGCTTACATCTACATCTTTTGTCTACTACGAAACTTGACCTTTAACCTCTAGCTCATTCACATCTATTTGTTAACTTCCGCTACGCCAAAATCCCTTTAGTATAGAGGAAAAGCGTTTAAGCGGAAACTTATTGTAATTAAAAAAAAAAAAAAAAAGGTAAATCTCACCATCTGAGCGACTCACGTCAACCTGCTTTAATACACACATAGGAAGTCAATTGCGGAACATTAACAATATTTTAGATGTACAAGGATTTGAACCTTGGACTTCGTAAGTGAAATTTCACTCATCCACCGTTTGACTAATTGACCAAAATACGGTTAACTATTACTTCTTTCATGCTCATGGACCAAAATTCACAACCGTGCTAATTTACATTTAAATTTTACTATACACTGTTTTAATTAGTCATATATGTAGCTTTTATTGTAATATCTCACAAGCTGGATTCCTTTCCTGTGATCGGTTTTATAAGTAAATGTTATTTTAAAGGGAGGGAAAATGATTAAAAAGCCCAACGAAGTTTCCAAACTGTTCAAAAAACCCCAATCATGTTTTGTCTGTCCAAAAAAACCAACGAACTTAACATTTTGTCTAAAAAGCCCAATTAAGTTATATTTTCCTAAAAGTCAAATAAAAGAAATAGATTACGTGACTTATTACCGTATGGGGAAAATGACTTGTTAGAGCAACAAAATTTTCAAAACGTTTAAAAAACTCTAATCATGTTTTGACTATTCAAAAAAAACCGAATAAACTTAAACAAAACAAAATTGGGATTTTTTGAACGGTTTGGAACTTTGTTGGACTTTTTAGACAAAAAGTTAAGTTTGTTGGGTTTTTTTGAACGTACAAAACATGATTGAGATTTTTTGAATGGTTTGAAAACTTTGTTGGGTTTTTAAGTCATTTTCCCTTAAAGGGAAGTGATATTTCTAATAGAATGGTACTACTGGGTATTATAGTGTATGTGGGTATTATAGAGGTTCACTTATTAAGCTAAGGTTTCCGGGGAATTGAGAGCATGTTATGTCCTTGAAAACTGACAGCAATATATATTTTCTTTACATTTAGGCAGTTTATAAATATATACTAAAAATAATAAAATTGATCAACAACAAGGGCTCGCATTAAATAAGTAAAGAAACTACATAACTAATGCACATAATTGTCTAGATATTTAAAATATGTTAATTTAAAAATTATTAAAAAAAATATTAAGATTCAAATTTGGATAATCTGAAATTCTGAATATCCTTTGAACCGGATTTTCGGATAGTAGTTCGGAATTACGTATCTTTAAAGACCCTATATCACTTTAGAATAGGGGCAGTTGGGATATACATAATCTTCCATTGTGAAATCCAAGTGACTGACTGTAATGGACGTCAGAGGAAACAGCACACCGGCGATCGGCATCGACCTCGGAACCACTTACTCATGTGTCGCCGTTTGGAAGCATGATCACATCGAAATCATTCCCAATGATCAAGGCAACCGAATCACACCATCATGTGTTGCTTTTGTTGATGGAGAACGTCTCATCGGCGATGGCGCCAAGAATCAAGTGGCGATGAACCCTGCTAACACCATTTTTGGTAACTTCTGTTTGTTTTTTTTTCTTTCTATTAATTGTTTATAGAATGTTGTTAATCTTGTTATGATTAATGATTTAACAATGTTAAGTCGGCCCATTAGATTTGAGAAAATCGTTCCTAATTAAATGAATTTTTTGCAACGTATTTAAATCCAGGAAATCTCTCTCATCCTAGTTATAAACCAAACTTTTGAAGTAATTAGTGTAGGTCTTGATCAGGAGACTGATGAAAAACCATATTCAAAAAACTAAATGCACCATGAATCCATGGCTGGTGGAAATGTAATATCAAAATAGATAAATGTGTGGTTAAATTAATAGCTTAAATGGTTGAAAAATAGTAATAAAATATAAGAACAATTAAGCTCACATAGTCAAATTGAAGATGTTAATTTATTACGCTCTTTCATTATGTATCCGGCTTCATATTACTTTTTTTAAATAAAAAATCCACTCCTAGGGGAAATCACAATCTTAATTTGCCGACATAGTTGGTTTTCACTTTGGTTATTGATCTAATTAATTTTGGATATCAGATGCTAAGAGGTTGATTGGGAGGAGATTCAGTGATTCCAAAGTTCAGGATGACATCAAGTTGTGGCCTTTTAAGGTCATACAAGGGTCAGCCGATACACCAAAGATTGTTGTCTCCTACAAAGGTGAAGAGAAAGAGTTTTTGGCGGAAGAAATTTCATCTATGATTCTTGGGAAGATGCAAGAAACAGCTGAATCATACCTCGGAAAACCCGTTAAAAATGCTGTCGTAACTGTCCCTGCTTATTTTAATGATTCACAACATCAAGCAACAAAAGATGCTGGAGCCATTGCTGGACTTAATGTCATTCGCATGATCAACGAGCCTACAGCAGCAGCAATTGCTTATGGTCTTGACAATAAGTCTGATATCACTCGCAAGATCAATGTGCTTGTCTTTGATCTGGGTGGTGGCACTTTTGATGTCTCTATATTGACAATTACTGAAGGGGGAACCATTGAAGTGAAAGCTGTTGGTGGTGACACTCATTTGGGAGGTGAGGATTTTGACAACCGCATGGTGGATCATTGTGCTCAAGAATTCAAAAGGAGATGGAATAAAGACTTGACAGGGAACAAAAAAGCATTAGGGAGACTGAGATGTGCTTGTGAGAAAGCAAAAAGGATTCTTTCATGCAATACTCAGACTTCAATCGACGTAGATTGCTTGCATGAGGGAATTGATTTCTCTATGAAATTCACCAGAGCTAAATTTGAAGAGTTGAACATGCTTTTCTTCAATAAGTGCATCGAGACTCTTGAGGCATGTTTAAACGATGCAAAGATGCCAAAATCGTGTGTTAACGAGGTGATTCTTGTGGGTGGCTCAACTAGAATACCAAAGGTCCAGTGTATGTTGCAAGATTTTTTCGATAAGAAGAAGCTACACAAGAGCTTAAACCCTGATGAGGCAGTTGCATATGGTGCAGCTGTTTTGGCGGGAAAGTTAAGTGGTAACAATCATGAGAGCTGTCGAAATTTGTTGTTAATGGACGTCGCTCCTTTGTCAGTTGGTCAAGAAATTAAAGAAGGAGTATTTAGTGTTGTGATTCCACGAAACACTCCAATACCCACGAAGAAATCCCAAATCTATATTACAACTGAGGATAATCAATCTTCTGCACTTATCAAGGTGTATCAAGGTGAAAGAGCAAGAACTACTGATAACCATTTGATGGCGAAGTACACAATCTCTCTACCACAGGCTCCAAGAGGAGTTACCCGATTCAGGGACTACTTTGAAATAGATGTGAATGGCATCCTCACAGTCACATCGGAGATAATTTCAACTGGTGAGATACAGAAACTCACAATTCCCACCAAAATTGGAAGTCTCACAGAGGAACAGATCGAGGAGATGATAAAAGATGCGGAGAAGTACAAACAGGAGGATCAAGAATACAAGAAGAAAGCCGATGCATTGAATGCATTAGAGGATTGCGTATACAACATGAAGAAGAAGATAAAAAATATGGCGCATGGTAAAAGCTTGAGGGAAATGGAAAACGCCATTACTGATATAACCAAGTTGTTGGAGCAGAAACAAGCTGTATCTATTGATGAGATTCAGCGCATGAAGAAACATCTGGAGTCTTTATCAAAACACAATGACATGGGTAGCACATGGAGAAAATTACACTATACCAGGAATTTTTTCAAAAAGTTTCTAACAACCCAAAAAATTAGCCCGTAGGCAACCATATGCATGGAAGCGTTTCAGGAACGAAATCATGGTGATGACCCTAGTGAGACTCTCAGGTGTTCTTCTAATTAAGCCCCTTTTTTTATTTTCATTAGATGATGTTTAACAATAAGGTGCAACTTCTTAAACCAAGAACCATTTCGTATTAATTTGGTCTCATAAGTTGTAAACCAAATTAAACATGAATTTCGGAATGCTATTTTAGCTGGTTAGTTTTGTTTTTAGACAATTTTGAGTACCATCTATATATGTTGGTTGGTTGTTTAATTTATATTATTAATTTTACGCAACACACTTGCTTCTGATAATATACTATCACAATATTTCCCTTGAATCATTCCATGTATTGAGAAGCAATGTATACATGCAAGAACAAGACTAAGGCCCATGATTAGACATGAGTACATACAAAATACAAATAAATATTTGTCACTATAAGACTATGTATGCCTAGGAAGCTTGGTTTTATACGGCCTTGTCCATTTTAATTAGACCATGTTTATTGGGTGATCATATGTTCGAACCGGTCGAATGTAATTTTGGTACAATTCAGTTAAATGTAAAAAGCAAAATACATCATGACATCCACTTGAAGAAATGAGTCCTTTGCCAACCTATTTTCCTGATGTAGATTTTCTACATATTTATTAAAAATTATAAAAAAAAATACATCAAAATTCACAATTTTTAATTTCATACACATAAACTATAATATTAATATATTTTTGTATCTATTGAAACTTTCAAATAGAATATTGTAGTTTTTTGTTTGATAAACAATAAAAAAGTAGAGATTGATTGATAGTATTTATTGTGTTTATGGATAAAAGTAAAGATTGGTTGATAAATTTAATTGTGTATGTGTATGATTAAAAAATAATATGGAATATTTGACATCCATGATTTTATTAGTAATTTTTTGTGATGCAATATGACTTTTGATTTTTGTAATGAACCTAATTGTGGAAAATTTATAATTTGAAAACTATTGTTAAGACTTTAGAGAATTATATATTTTTATTTATTATGTTTCATATTTAACTTTTACACATGTGCCATTTTATGTAATTTTATACATTTCAAAAAATTAAATATCCTATAAACATAGGGGTACAACATTGAATGGAAACATACGGAAAAGATTAGGGCTGACAATTCTCGACACGACACGCGACACGACCCGCGACACGATACGAAATAAATGGGTTTGGGTTGAGTTTTTCAACCCGCCAACCTGCTAACCCGTCAACCCGCCAACCCGTTTATTAAACGGGTCATATATGGGTTTCTCAAAAAATAAACGGGTTGACCCGCCAACCCGTTTATATTCATAATAAAAAATATTTTATATTTTTAAATGTATTTATGTATCAAGTATTAATATTTAATAAGTATTATATAATATATACAATTTATTCATAGACTATTTGATTGTTTTGACATTATTACTCGTGGTAGATAGTCTAAGGTCATAAGTCGTATCCTATAAAGCTAAGTCTGTAACATGTTTCTATGAATGTTTTTTATTTTCATTTGGATGTTTAAGACTTAAATATCTAAAATTTGGACCCACGAACCCAAATCTGACCCATGAACCCGCCAACTTGTGAACCCGTAAAAATAAATGGGTTGGTGGGTCATATATGGGTTTATGTTCCAAATCCGTCAACCCGTGACCTGTATAGTTAAATGGGTCGTGTTTGGGTTGGAATATTTTAACCCGCCAACCTGCCAACCCGCGACACGCCAACCCGAACACGACACGATTGCCAGGCCTAGAAAAGATGTATGTAAGAAATGGTTGCATTTTGAAAAAAAATGAATGGGTAAAGCTAGAAATAGTTATCGCTACTGCAAAAGCGATGGAATATTTATATAAATAGTGCTTCAAATGGATTTCTTCATTGTGATGCATTTATAACCCCATAGCATTTTGTTTAGATGTCGGTTACAATCCAAAGGTTGTATTTTAGGTTGTCAAAGTTGTTTTATAGATGCAGGTGCCATTAAAACTTCAAACTTTCGAGATTCAGGAAACATAAGGTTACATTCAGACTTCAAGCTTATACAAGTGGAAATGTATCAATATGGATGGTTGGAGACATGGTATTTAATGGAGACTATCATTAAACCAATGACGGAATGTATTATATATGTATGTTTAGCCCAAGATGTAGTGTATATCATATTTAGACCTATGAACTTCATATGAGTTTTATAAGATGCGCGCAGGTGCCTTTAAAACTTCAAACTTTCGAGATTCATGAAACATAAGGTTACATTCAGACTTCAAGCTTATACAAGTGGAAATGTATCAATATGGATGGTTGGAGACATGATATTTAATGGAGACTATCATTAAACCAATGACGGAATGTATTATATATGTATGTTTAGCCCAAGATGTAGTGTATATCATATTTAGACCTATGAACTTCATATGAGTTTTATAAGATGCGCGTAGGTGCCTTTAAAACTTCAAACTTTCGAGATTCATGAAACATAAGGTTACATTCAGACTTCAAGCTTATACAAGTGGAAATGTATCAATATGGATGGTTGGAGACATGATATTTAATGGAGACTATCATTAAACCAATGACGGAATGTATTATATATGTATGTTTAGCCCAAGATGTAGTGTATATCATATTTAGACCTATGAACTTCATATGAGTTTTATAAGATGCGCGCAGGTGCCTTTAAAACTTCAAACTTTCGAGATTCATGAAACATAAGGTTACATTCAGACTTCAAGCTTATACAAGTGGAAATGTATCAATATGGATGGTTGGAGACATGATATTTAATGGAGACTATCATTAAACCAATGACGGAATGTATTATATATGTATGTTTAGCCCAAGATGTAGTGTATATCATATTTAGACCTATGAACTTCATATGAGTTTTATAAGATGCGCGCAGGTGCCTTTAAAACTTCAAACTTTCGAGATTCATGAAACATAAGGTTACATTCAGACTTCAAGCTTATACAAGTGGAAATGTATCAATATGGATGGTTGGAGACATGATATTTAATGGAGACTATCATTAAACCAATGACGGAATGTATTATATATGTATGTTTAGCCCAAGATGTAGTGTATATCATATTTAGACCTATGAACTTCATATGAGTTTTATAAGATGCGCGCAGGTGCCTTTAAAACTTCAAACTTTCGAGATTCATGAAACATAAGGTTACATTCAGACTTCAAGCTTATACAAGTGGAAATGTATCAATATGGATGGTTGGAGACATGATATTTAATGGAGACTATCATTAAACCAATGACGGAATGTATTATATATGTATGTTTAGCCCAAGATGTAGTGTATATCATATTTAGACCTATGAACTTCATATGAGTTTTATAAGATGCGCGCAGGTGCCTTTAAAACTTCAAACTTTCGAGATTCATGAAACATAAGGTTACATTCAGACTTCAAGCTTATACAAGTGGAAATGTATCAATATGGATGGTTGGAGACATGATATTTAATGGAGACTATCATTAAACCAATGACGGAATGTATTATATATGTATGTTTAGCCCAAGATGTAGTGTATATCATATTTAGACCTATGAACTTCATATGAGTTTTATGCAGAAAAATTCGATTATTTTGGGATTTTTTTTATTATTTTTTTTATAAAGTTCTAAAAAAAATTTCATAGACAAATCCCGATTATTTAACATTTTGCCAAAATTAACGAAAAAATTATTTTTTGTATTTTAACAAGAAATGACAGATTATGTAATTTTCCCAAAATAATAAAACTTTTTTGTTAAAAAAAATTTAGTATTTTATCAAAAAAAATTTCCAAAATAATGGGAATTCTCTGCATAAAACCAAACTTTATATTTTTTATATATACTTGTATTATATCATTATATGTTTGGAAAGAAACAAAAGTGATAATCATTCAACTTTAATAGAATATCAAAGTGATATCCCTAAAATCTCTCCATTCTATTCCCTTTTCAATCTCCTTCTCGTGGTAACTTTCTTCTCTATCTGTAAGTGTAATTTTTCCTTCCAAAACATTTGGGATTACAAACATCATGGCTCTTATCCAACTATTTTAACCTTGAAAGATTAAACTATGACTCTCGGAAGGAGATTTTCTCAACTCACTAAAATGGTTATGATGTAACCAATCGTATCAATGCATTATATGATCATCCAAAACCCGCACCAGTTAGAAGGGAAAAATGTGGATTCCATCGTGAATATGTAGATATACACCACAATATTCCAATGTCTACTCTAAATGATCTTGAAGAGATATTCTTTATGTCACTTATCTTTTAAGTATATTCAATATGGCACTAAAAGTTTTTCTCACTACTAGAAATCTAACCTTCAGCTACGAAATCAACGACGGATTCTATTCATAGCTAATTAGTGACGGTTTAGTGAGGGACTAGTAACAGAAAGCACAAATAGTTCAACCAAAATAATTATAAAATTTTAGAGAGGTATTAACGAGGGATCAACGACGGATTGGTAAGAATTTATCGACAAAAAAATATTCCCTCACCAAGACCATCTCCAACCCATCTTAATTTTTTCTCCCATAAATGGAGTAAAAATAATTATAAAATTTTAGAGAGGTATTAACGAGGGATCAACGACGGATTGGTAAGAATTTATCAACAAAAAAATATTCCCTCACCAAGACCATCTCCAACCCATCTTAATGGAATATTTTTTTGTCGATAAATTCTTACCAATCCGTCGTTGATCCGTCGTTAAAACCCTTTAGCGATGTAACTGCTACCGATTACTAAAATCACATGTCTTTTTCCCCTTGGCCCCCGCCAATCGCTTGCAAAAAAATTGACGTCTCCTTTTTTTTTTATTCCCCGCCTTTCCTTATTTTTCCGCTCCCTCGTTTTATTTTCATTCCCCTTTTTTTCATACCCCGTTTTATTTTCATTCTCTAGTTTCTTCCCAAAGCTATAAACCATTTCCTCCCAAAACCCTAATCGAACCTCTGTCGATTCAAATCCCTCCTCTGCCTGAAAATCACTTCGGCCACCGTCCACTTGCATTGCCCATCCATGAAGTATGCTTGAAGAGTATTGGAAAACCTCATAAATCACATCCTCGTTAGCATTCATCTCGGTCCGTTGGTCTAGCTTTTTTACTCTCACTACTAGAAAAAAGGCCTTTTATGACGCTCATTGCGCGTCGTAAAACGCTCAGACGACGCGTAAATGCGCGTCAAGGAAGACCCTGTCATAAAGAGAGACGACGCGCATTTACGACGCGCATTTACGACTCGCGGTTATGACACGCAATGCGTATCAAGGAAGGCCCTGTCATAAAGGAAGACGACACGCATTTGCGTGTCGTAACTTTACGACGCACGTGTTTATAACACGCAATGCGTATCAAGGAAGCCTCCGTCAAGAAAGGCCATGTCATAAATGAAGACGACACGCATTTTTGCGTATCGTAATTTTAATATTTTTTTAAAAAAAAATATATTTATATATTTATTAATTTATAAATTAAATTTGCATTTAATCTCTCATAATAGAAATAAAATACCATATACAAAAAATACAATCCATTGCATAATATTAAATAAAATACCATATACAAAAAATACAATCCATTGCATTTAATCTGTATGTATAACAAAGACACATGTGTTAAACTTGTTACCATTAACATCTAATCGTATGGACTCGAGTGTTAAACTTGTTACTATTAACATCTGATTCATAAGTCCTTTCTACAAGATTGTTACCTGCATAAATGAAAACAAACAGGAACATTAACAGCCCAGCTATGACTCTTTTTGTCCCAGAATCTGAATTAAACCACTAGTGATAGCATTAGGCATTAGGCATTAGCATCTGGTTTAGCATACAAATGTCTTACCAACAAAGAAACACAAAGCAGTATAGCATTAAGCATTAGCATCAGTGTTGGTCAAAAACTCTGCATCAGTCGAAACTAAGGCAATTAAGATAATCCATAGTAACATTAGAGTTTCCCAGCACCAGTCAAAAGTATCCCCTATAAAGGATCAGGTAGAAACTCTATTCTCACGTTCAAGAGGTGAAAAAACTCTTCAAGTTCAGATAAGCATCACAAAAATCTGCTTAACTATTTAATTCCCAGCCAAGGGTTAAATACCCCATTAAGAGACCAAAATAATCGGAACCAGTGGTACAGTTAAGGATTGCCCTCACAATAAAAGAAACACAAAAACAGGTGGTGCTATGCCCACAATTACTAAGGAGAAATAAAAATAAATTAATAATATTCTAAAGCACAATCGACATTATGCAATTATAAGTGAAGGCAACAATGTGACATTCAAAAGTATGCTTTCCCATTTATGCTAACACCTTAAATAAACAAACACAGAGGCCTAAGATCATGAAGCTTCAAGGAAGATGCATACCACATGGTAATATGTTTTTCAGCCAAAACCACGTTCTTTGTAAACTATGATCATGAGCCAGTCATTTACTAGTTCTCTATCTTGGATATCCATATCCTGACAAAGTAAAATAAGATCTCAGTTAAAATGATGAATACAATAATTATGCAACCAGAACCATAGATAAAATTCAGTTTGACAATTGTAAGAACCACCTGTTTTGTTTTGAGAACAAGGGCTTTCCAAAGATGGCTACTAAAGCGGGGGATAAAAGATAAAAGAACCTGACTGCATATAATCAAAAACCAACAATTCAAGAATTATTTGATATGCGTACAGTAGTTAATTAATATGTGTTAGCAATAATTTAATCGGTCAGAGCAAGATTTCTTGAATACAAGATGTTACAAACTGTGAAAGAGAAACCCTCTGTCCACTTCCACCATGAAAAGTGGAAAACCAATCATTATATAGCATAGACATCTGGTTTTACAAGAATGAAGTTAATAATGATTAGATTGATAAATTAAGGAGTTAAAAATGAAGAAATATGATGTAATAAGATGAGAAAAATTATTAGGTAATAGGTTAAGAAGATATAAATGCACCATCATCATCCTTGTTGTGTTGGACATAGAATAGGATGCATACCAACCAGCTTGATGAACAACAAATCAACCTCCAAAAGAGAGATAACATCCAAAAGAGAGATAACATCCTCAGATTCCTCATTGGAATGATAATATCAACCTCCAAAAGAGAGATAACATCCTCAGATTCCTCATTGGACTTTGATGAAGCACCAACATTTTCATCTGCAATTTCCATCAGATTATTAGTAAATAAGGAACAACCTAAAAGATTAGATAAAACACTAACCAGATTGTGCAGCATCAAGAAGTTCCTCAAGTTCAAAAATCCAATTAACACCACCAGACAGTTCGATGAACTTTCTATGCAGCTCCAAGATGTCACCAAAGGCCAAGAAGCTTTGAGATACAACTGATGCCAAAAACCGCAATGCATGTGCAAGCTCACCTGCTAACAAAAAAACCCACTCACATCCAAACAAAAAAAATAAAAGCCTACATTTCATTAGGTTCAGGTAATCGATTCACAACTACTAAACTATTTCCAATTGTGGTAAACAAATGTCATGATGAATCGGAATTGAGAATGGGAATTGACCTTGAGTGGAAGTCAATGAACGATCAGCTTTTTGACCTTTTATTCGTTTATTTTTTTTAGCATTTTGTTTGAATAACCTTTTTTTTTAATATTTTTAAAGTTTTGTTTATTATAATCTTGTTGATATTTTTAAAGCTTTTTGTCCTTCATCTGCACCCAAATGACGGGTTTTGAGAACATCCCATGTCCTTACCCATGATGGGTTTTGATGAAGGAATTCGGGAGGCGAGACTTCAAACTCTAATGGGATAGTTTGAAAATCTAAAGATGAAGGACCAAGAGGTGATAGACAACTTTGCTAATAAGTTGTCCGAGTATGCTTCTCGAGCCGCCTCACTAGGATCGGTTATGGAGGAAACAAGATTGGTTAAGAAATTTCTTAATGCGTTACCGAAACATTTCATTCATATGGTGGCTTATAGAACAGGTTGTAGATTTGAAGACCATCAGTTATGATGATGTTGTGGGTCGACTTAAAGCTTATGAAGAAATGATTAAAGTTAAGGAGATCCAACCCGAACAAAATCAGCTTTTATTTTCAAATTCAGATGAAAAAGCAAAAGAAAAAGAGCATAGGTGTGAGAATTGTGGTTGTGGAAACTTGAATCGTGAAGACTATGGGTGTGGCTGAGGTGGAGGTCGGGGGTCCGGGAAAAGTCAAGGAGATGGTCGAGTACAACGGGACAAGAGTCGCGTGAAATGCTACAAATGTAATGAGTTCGGGCATTACGTTTCGGAGTGTCCAATGTGGGAGAAAAAGGAGGCGCTCAACTTGAATCGGTCCGAGGATGATGGACCAACACTATTGTGAACAACGAAATAAACGATTAAGGGGGTGAATGTTGGAGTAATCGTTTATTGGATGATGGGTCATGGGTCAAGTTTTGTTTGGGTCATAGGTTAAGTTATTTACACATGCTTTACTTTGAGTAAAAAAGACTTGGTAAAAGGTTTAACCGGATTTTATAATGTGCACATTGGGCAGTCTTCATATTTACCTAGTCTTTAAGGGCATAGTTTAGTATTTTTAATTAGTTTTCTTTTGTTCACAATAGATATTTTAATGGGCTATATATAGTCATTGTTTAATATGAATATTAGGCTTTTCTTCTGCAACTTTGGTACACTCTTTTCACTTCATATTAAGAAAGTTTCTTTTCTTATTTTCTGCAAGTTTATTTTTATTATATTCGTGAGTTTCAAGTTCTAAGTTTATTTTTATTATATTCGTGAGTTTCAAGTTCTAAGTTTTGTGGGGCCTGAACTCTGATACCATAAAAAACCTTTGTAATTGAAATAATATCTTGTCTTTCAAGAATCGATATACAACAATATATATATATATATATATATATATATATATATCCTAATTCTAATAAATAAGTAGAACTCTGCCACGTGTCAATCTATAAGACCTCCAAAATAGAGTTTTCCCGCTCATTTTATTCATCTATATTTACGTAAATGCCATACAATCCAAATTCAATAATTCCGGAAAAATCTGCAAACAAATATGTTAATCAATCTTCAGATTCGAAAAACACGCATTAATTTTGAAAGTTTGTTTATTTTGATTGCAAATTAAATCCCTAAAAATCTGTAATATTTATCTTTTTCAAACGTAATCTTCTTAATTCTTATTCTTATTTATTCAAACGTAAATAGCATTCATACGGTTATTTTCTTTTTACCATTCTGCTCCAGACGAATTCTGCTCCATAGTAATATTTGCAAACGTATTCTTCTTCATTCTTCTTGATTCTGCAACGCTTCAAAATTTATAATATCAGGTTAGTGTATTAAAATATCAGCATTACTAATATTTCTAACCTCTTAATTGTCTGATTTACCAGTTTCTATCATTTTTCATTTTATTAGTGATGTTCTTCTTCTTCCTTTTGCTAATTCTTCTTAATCATGTTCTTCTTCTACCTTTTCAGTTTAAAAGACGTAAATGTTAATGAAAATGATTACAAAATACGAAATTAGTAATAAAAATGAGAACTTTATTTTCTTTAAAAAAAACTGTTCTTCAAAGCTTTAACTATTACAATATGTTTTTTTTGTATTGCTGTTTCATTTACTTTGATTTGCTGTTAATTTAAAAGGTTGCTAATTTTCGCCCCAATTCCAAAATCAAATAACAGATCCTTCGTGTGATTCATTTAATAACCAAGGCTTTTTTTACTTCAAAATGACCATATTGCCCCTAACTTGATAAGTATTTCATATATCGCAATTAACAATTAAGACAAATCAATCAATCAATCAATTTGTATAATAAAAATGCGAAATTCTTAGCTTTCTTTCCCAATTCGCATTCTCTGTAAAATTCACATTCTTCATTCACCCTCTTTCTTCGCATGTTCCAGTCATTTTTTTTTAGTTCATTCGCATTTGAGTTGTTTGTCTCACCAAATACGAAATGAATATTAACCATAATCACCTTCGCATCTTTAACCCCAATCCATACAACCTCATATGCGAAACCCAATTTTGATTTGTATTACCAAATGCGAACATTTTTGCTTTTACACGTGAACTGCATTTGACTCCAATATGCGAACATCTTTAACCCCAATCCATACAACCTCAAAGCTTTAACTATTACAATATGTTTTTTTTGTTTTGCTGTTTCATTTACTTTGATTTACTGTTAATTTAAAAGGTTGCTAATTTTCCTTACATTTCTATAATGATTAAATTTATTGCAGAAAATGGAAATAGGAAATAAGGTTTACCTAAATAACATTGACCAGATAGATGAAAAATCGCATATCAAGGTTCAGGTGCTTAAAATTTGGAACTTTGTCAGAAATAATAAAGTTTGTTCCATTGAAATGATCATCATGGATGAGGAGGTTTGTTGTATTTGATATATTTTTTATTCATCATTCAATATTAGACATGTTTCATGAACATAATAATTTTTAATTTTTTTTTAAACAGGGTACACAATACCAAGCTCGTGTCTTCAATCAGAATTTCTCCAGATTTCGTCATCTTTTAAAGGAAGATGAAAGTTATATAGTTATAAAACCCAATATGGCTGCTGTTACTAATGGTTTTAGTTATACAAGTCATAAACAGACCTTAACTTTGGATTAGAAAAGCATCCTAAAAAAATGTGATGATTTCTCGGGTCCAGTCAATGGATTTATGTTTGTTGACTTTAATTCTATCATAGAACAAACATGCCCAAAAGACACATTCTTTGGTTAGTCATAAAATATTAATAAAATCATTTTTTATCATTTGTTTTTTTGGTTATACATTTTATTATTTAAATATTACGAATTTAATCCTAAACTTTTATTTTTTTGTGGTATCTGTTGTGTAGATGTTATTGGACATATCGTGTCATTTAGGCCTCTTGAAACTTCAAATCCAGTACCATCCAAGCATTATATAAAAGTCACTCTTAGCAACCTAGAGTGAGATTATATTGTATTATTTATTTATTATTTATTATCTTTAATTAATCACAAATTAATATTAATATACTATTTTATGGTTTATTTAGTTCTGTACATCTGAAGGTTACTATTTTTGGAAGTCAAGCATATCAAATTTCAGAATACCTAAAAAATAACCCGACTGTTAATTTTGTTGTTATCGTGATGCAGTTTTTGAAGCTAAACATTTGAATGGTTTGTATTCAGTCTTTATATATAGATGTTTATAATTACTATTTTTATATAAATTTTAATAATTGGATATACATTTTTTACAGGTCTTGGTGAAGCTAAAAGTCATTTTGAAGTAACGAAATTGTTCATAAATTCTGATATTTATGAAATAAATGAGTTTAAAAATAAGTTAGTTTCCAATTGTTTTTTATTTTTTTATAATGTATTTTAACTTAAAAAAAAACACAAAACCTAATATTCATGAATCTAAATTAAACATTACAGGTTGAAATGTCATGACAATTTCGGTATAACTGAAAAAAGCATAACTACACTTCAAAGCTACTCTTCTTCATATACAGATGACTTTAAGGGCAATTTTCCATTAAGAACAATCTGTGAGATCACCGAACCAATTAAGGTATATTGCATTATTTTATATGTTTTACATTTTATTTTTGCATAATTTATTTTAATAATTTTTACATTTTATATGATACAGGAAATGAAGTTTTTATTAGTTGCTTCCATTGTTAATATAAGGCAGAATCTACCATGGTATTATGAAGCATGCAAAAAATGTGGAAAAAAAGTTATCCCTGTTCCCAAAACCAATCATTCGTATACCAACCCTGAGGGAATTTCCGAAACTATGGTTGTCGAGTGTACAAATGCACAATGCAAAAAATCTGAATTTCAGTCAGTTATAAAGTATAGACATATTTATTTCTATTAATTTTGTCAATCTTAAAACAACACTAACAATGACATAATTATTTTTTGTTTTAGGTATATAATTCCAATTAACGTACAAGATTGTACTGGAACCATTGGATTGACTCTTTTTGATAGGGAAGCAAGCAGGTTGTTAAATATAAGTGTCTACGAGTTGAAAAAGATACATGATGCGGTATATTATTCATACCTTTAAAATCAGAAAACATGTACTTAATTTTTTTAATTTATTAAAATATATCTTACAGGCCGGAGACAGTGATGCCCTATTTCCAATGCAACTTAATGTGTTGAAAAACCGCAAGTTTGGTTTTGTTGTAGATATTACAGAATACAATGTCAACAACTATAATAACATCTACACAGTTCTCATAGTTACAGAAGATATGTCCATTGTTTGTGAATTGGAAAGTAAAATAGAACTTATGGTATGTAATTTTTTATTGTTGAAAATTTACAATTCTTTAATGTTAAAGTACATAACGATTAACATATTTCCATTTTATTTTTTAGAGTAATCAATCTGTCGCCTTAAATCAAGTTGCTTTGGAATCCGATGATGTTGTACAGCCTGTTTAAAAGGTTTTTCATTTTATTTTATAAACTTTTAATTATATTAGTTATTTTTTTTAGGAATCAAACATTTTTTTTTTAAAATTAGGATGTGATCTCACAAACAGACGAAAGTTTTACACCCTCAACAGTTGATAAGTCAACCGCAACAAGTCCTTGCAAAATATCAGGTGATTTGAAGCGCAACCTCCAAGAAATTTATGATGTTGATTCTGGATATGATTTAAGTTCAACTAAGGCTAAAAGAAAGTCAACCGCAGAGGAAACTCCACTCTTGATTCCAAAAATTGAAAAGTGAGTGTCTATCGGTTATAAGACACATTTAATATATTTTGATCATTTGTTTTGGTTATAAAGATATTTTAATTGCTTGGTATGATTTTTATTTTGGGGTATTTAAGATGTCAAATATTATTGGTTTTGAATATTTTTGGATACTTATATTGTTTTAAATTGGACAAGTTAGTTGATTTTGGTTATAACTCAAATAAAATATATTGCCCCTAACTTGATAAGTATTTCATATATCGCAATTAACAATTAAGACAAATCAATCAATCAATCAATTTGTATAATAAAAATGCGAAATTCTTAGCTTTCTTCCCCAATTCGCATTCTACTGTAAAATTCACATTCTTCATTCACCCTCTTTCTTCGCATGTTCCAGTCATTTTTTTTTAGTTCATTCGCATTTGAGTTGTTTGTCTCACCAAATACGAAATGAATATTAACCATAATCACCTTCGTATCTTTAACCCCAATCCATACAACCTCATATGCGAAACCCAATTTTGATTTGTATTACCAAATGCGAACATTTTTGCTTTTACACGTGAACTGCATTTGACTCCAATAATGAATATTAACCATAATCACCTTCGCATCTTTATGTTGATTATTTTAAACATGGAACATTTATGTCTATTATTTAGAATAACTATTATTTTTGTCACGATAAATATGTTATTTTTAATAAATAATCAATAACCAATTGTAAACAAAATTTATATCTTTGATTCTCTAAAATTAATTCATACATTTTTGTAATGGTTGCAACATATTTACTGAGAAATATTGATCAGAAAAACGGCTTATGTAATGGCACAAGACTACAGGTGTTATCATTGGGCAAACGTGTTATTGAGGCACGTATAATAACTGGAACTAATATTGGAAATCGGACTTTTATTCCAAGAATGTCTTTAACTTCATCAGAAAAAAAGATTCCCTTCAAATTCACAAGAAGACAGTTTCCTTTGGATGTATGTTTTGCAATGACTATTAACAAAAGTTAAGGACAATCGTTGTCAAAGGTTGGTCTGTTTCTGAAAGATCCAGTTTTTTCACATGGACAATTGTATGTTGCCTTATCTAGAGTTCAGAGTAGAGAGGGATTAAAATTATTAATTTTAGATAAAGATGGCAAACTCACAAATAAAACTTCCAATGTTGTTTATAAGGAAGTTTTTCGAAATTTGTAGCCAACTTTTTTGTAACGTCGTTTTATTCAATTTTAGGAAATCACACTTAATCCATCATATTACTTTATTTTTTATAATTACGTATTGTTGTATTTTATGTTAATTTCATTACACACATTGGTATTGTATCATCTGCATATGTCCAATTAGAATGATGAATAAAAAAAATAGTTTTCAAAAATCTTCATTCCTAATTAAATACTTCCCATTTAGTTACTAATTAAATAATTACCAATAAAAAAATTATTTAAATATTCAATATTACAATTTATAAGTTATCAGAATTATTGATATAATATTTTATTAAATAATTAATTTTTAAATTCAATTCAAAAACAGCACCCGTGGGTTCCACGGGTTTTAACTTAGTATATATATATATATATATATATATATATATATATATATATATATATATATATATATATATATATATATATATATATATATATATATATATATATATATATATATAACCCTCAACCTATTAAACAGACCTAGAAATCAGGAAAGATAATATCTATCCTAAAATAAAAGATATACAAGATATATACGCTAGTTATTACTATAGCTCCAGACAAGAAAATCACATTGAAAGACACTCTGCATTTTAGTTATACAATGTCAATATCAAAAATTACTGTTGAAACAAACATACATATGTTTTTTCCATGGTTACCCCAAAAGATAATGATTATATGATATAAAATCATAAGTATATGACATAAAACAATGAACAAAATAAAACTTATTAAAAGAAAAAGATAGCCTTTTAATGAACAATAGAAAGATTATTAAAAGGTAACAAAATGAGACACCTTGCATGAGAAACCAAAATAGCATTAATTCCAAATGAAAAGTAATCAAGAACAACATAAATTAAACCCATCAATCGATCATGTTCGTAACTGATCAAACTGATACAAATCGGTTCTTGTTTCAACTTATAGGTTCGGTTTTAAGAGGTCACGATTTAATATTTAACATCATTTAAAGAAAACAAAAGAACGCCTTGAGTTTAACATACATTATTTACGAACCAAAACTTTGGCATGCATATAGACTCCAGGTGTTTCTTCATGCGATGAAGCTCATCAACAGATGCAGCTTGGTTTTGCTCGAGCCACTTGGTCGTATCAGCAATTCCACGCTCCATTTTCTTCAACCTCTTACAATTCTCCATATTTTTGATCTTATTCTTCATGTTGTATATGCATTCCTCTAGCGCATTGAATGCATCTGCTCTCTTCCTGTATTCTTGATCCTCCTGTTTGTACTTGACAGCATCTTCCATCATCTTTTCAATCTCTTCCATACAGAGCCTTCCATTTGCATTGGTAATTGTAAGTTTCTCCGTCTTACCCGTTGATAATATCTTTGCTGTCACTGTCAGGATACAATTTGCATCTATTTCAAAACAATACTCGAGTTTTGCAATTCCTTTTGGAGCCGGTGGTATTCCAGAAATTCTGAAGGTCCCTAACAAATGATTATCTGTAGATCTTGTTCGTTCACCTTGATACACCTGAACATCTACACAAGGTTGGTTGTCGCGGGATGTATTATATACTTTAGATTTCTTGGTAGGTATTGGAGTGTTCCTTGGGATAACAACATCAAATATGTCTCCTAATATTCCTACACCAAGGGACAAAGGAGTGACATCCAATAACAACAAATCCCGACAACTCTTATGATTGTTGCCACTTAACTTTGCAGCCATAACAGCTGCACCATATGCAACAGCCTCATCAGGGTTTACACTCTTGCATAGCTCCTTCCTTTCAAAAAATTCCTGCAACATACACTGGACCTTTGGTATTCTAGTTGAGCCACCAACAAGAATCACCTCATTCACATACGGTTTCTCCATCTTTGCATCCCTTAAACATGCCTCTACAGTCTCGATGCATTTAACGAAGAAACCCATGTTAAGCACTTCAAATTTAGCTCTACTGAATTTCATAGAAAAATCAATCCCCTCGTGTAAGCAGTCTAAATCGATAGAAGTGAGATTATTGCAAGAAAGAATCCTTTTTGCTTTCTCACAAGCACATCTCAACCTCCCCAATGCTCTTTTGTTACCAGTTAAGTCCTTATTCCATCTCCTGTTGAATTCCTGAGCACAGTGATGCACCATACGACTATCAAAATCTTCACCTCCCAAATGAGTGTCACCTGCAACGGCTTTCACCTCAAGGGTACCACCACCTTCCGCCATTGTTAATAGAGAGACATCAAAAGTGCCACCACCCAAATCAAACACAAGCACATTAATCTTGCAAGTGATATCTGACTTATTGTCAAGACCATAAGCAATTGCAGCTGCTGTAGGCTCATTGATAATACGAATGACATTAAGTTCAGCAATAGCTCCAGCATCCTTTGTTGCTTGACGTTGCGAATCGTTAAAGTAAGCTGGGACAGTTATCACAGAATCTTTTACAACTTTTCCAAGGTATGACTCAGCAGTTTCTTTCATCTTCCCAAGAATCATCGATGAAATTTCTTCAGCCAAAAATTCATTCTCTTCACCTTTGTAGGAGACAACAATCTTTGGTGTGTCGACAGGCCCTTGTATGACCCTAAAAGGCCACAATTTCATGTCATCCTGCACTTTGGAATCACCGAATCTCCTTCCAATCAACCTCTTAGCGTCTGCACATACTCGGTTAATTAGATAGCCAAAAACTTTCAATCATAAATTGACAAAGTAAAATGCAGAAGAATTTGGAAAGAAACATCAAGTAGACATAAACAGATATATATCCCAGTTTCCAACAGAAAGATAACCAAAGCTCGTGCTTATAGTAAATGCATTCGAGACTTGTTGATTTTTGGTCCAATGTATTCCACTGTTCCCAAATAAAACCAGTCATGCATGATGTATGTAATTTGTTGTTTAGTTAGTTTTCCCTCAAACCCATGAATACCTAAAACCCTAAAATCCTAAAATAGAACATCTGGGTCAAACTTGTTTCAACGAGTAGTTTATAACAAGGATCAAATGCTTCAGTGGATTTGATTATGACTCAATTTACCGAAAATTCATTCAGAAACAGTTTTCTTAGGATACGACGACCATTCAAATATATAACGAACTGTTTACAGTTCTTTTCTTATACTTAATACTTAATCATAATAACATTAACAACATTTATTAATAACTAGCACAAGGCTAGCTTACCAAATATAGTGTTTATTAAGTTCTTTTCTTTTACTTAATACTTAATCATAATAACATTAACAATTTCTTTTCTTATACTTAATACTAAATCATAATAACATTAACAACATTTATTAATAACTAGCACAAGGCCAGCTTACCAAATATAGTGTTAGCAGGGTTCATGGCCACTTGGTTCTTGGCGCTATCACCGATTAAACGTTCTGCATCACTGAAAGCAACACAAGACGGTGTGGTTCTATTTCCCTGATCATTGGGAATGATTTCGATGCGACCATGTTTCCAAACGGCGACACATGAGTACGTTGTTCCGAGGTCGATGCCGATCGCCGGTGCATTGTTTCTTTTGCCGTCCATTGCGGTCAAAATTCAAAATCAAGTTATAGCTCTGATAATACAATGCGATAGATTATAGAATTTTCTAACGAATAAACGAATTTGGTTAAATACAGTAGATCATAGCATTTTCGAAAAAGATAAACATACGTTTTAAATTTAGAAGATTAATCTAGATATTTAAAAGAACCAGATAATATGGATATTTTGAATTTTCTATAAATATTAAAAATGATTTTGGGAAAAATATTAAAAATTGAGAAGGTGTTTTAGCTTTCGACATTTTAAGTTTGGATGAACTTCTTAATAAATGAAAATAATTTTAATACATGCTATTCTCTTATTAACTTGGTCACATGTCATTTTTTTGTATTTTTGAATAATTGTTTTTTCCATTTCACCATTTGTCATTTCTATTTTTTTTTTCTTAATTAACACATTATACTTACACCTCAATTAACAATTGCTTTACTTAAAAATAACCAATAAATTACAATATTAGTACTCATATGATATTTAATATGTTTCCTTTTAAATTTTAAATTTTAAATCTACAATTTCAAATTTAAATAAAATTTTGTTTAAACTTTCATATTTGATTTTTTGATTTATCAAACTCATATAACATACGGGTCTTACATCTAGTTAGATTATTAAAAACACATCATTCCTAATAAATGAAAATAATTTTGACACATGTTACTTTCTTATTAACTTGGACACATGTCATTTTTTGGTATTTTTGAATAATTGTTTTTTCCTATTTCACCATTTGTCATTTTCTATTTTTTTTTTTAATATTTTTCTTAATTAACACATCATACTTACACCTCAATTAACAATTGCTTTAATTGAAAATAACCAATAAATTACAATATCAGTACTCAGAGGCAATCAAACTCGTATAACATAATGGTCTCACACCTAGTTAGATTATTAAAAACACATGAAAATGAAAAATATCGTTAAAATTACTTACTTAATTGTTATACAGAGAAAACAAAATATTTAAATAAGTAATTTTAAGGATGTTTTCATTTTTCATGTGTTTTTAATAATGTAATTTTTCCATTTTAATGTGTTTTTAATAATATAATTTTTATATAAATAATTCTAATTGTGATTTTAATAATCTGTTCACCCCGGGTGAATAGAGAAATGAGATTATGAGTCTCCTCCATGACTGTCTGTCTGACCCCACCAGACATCGGAACCCATACCCGACCGCATCGGGTCAATAATTCCCAGTTATCCTGCACAAACCGGGTGTTCTCACCCTTGATTGTCTCCAACTTCCAGTTCTCCGGTCGCATGCCCTCAACCTGAGCATCCCTGATCAAGTTCACTAGCGGAGAATCCACCGCTATCCTCATACATACCGCTGGGGTGGAAGACCCAGCTGACTTGCGGCTCAAAGCATCCGCCACCACATTCGCTTTACCGGGGTGATAAAGGATCTCGCAATCGTAGTTCTTGACTACATCTAGCCACCTGTGTCGCCTCATGTTCAGGTTCGGTTGATCCATGATGTGTCTCAAACTCTTGTGATCCGTGTATATGGTACAACGAACCCCATATAGGCAATATCTCCATATCTTGAGAGCGAACACTACCGCTCCCAACTGTAAATCATGAGTAGGATATCTCGTCTCATGCGGCTTCGGTTGTCGCGATGCATAGGCTATCACCCATCCTCTCTGCATGAGGACTGCCCCCAAACATGTGACAAATGCATCACAGAACACCACAAAATCCTCCACTCCCTCCGGGAGTGTCAAGACTAGAACCTTGCACAAACGCTAACGGAGAGTCTCAAACGCGCTCTGTTGCTCAGGACCCCACCGGAAATCCACCCCTTCCTCATCAGACGAGTGAGGAGTACTGCAATCTTAGAGAAATCCCGAATGAATCTCCAGTAGTACTGTAACGACCCAATTTTCACATCAAAATTTTTTTTTTGTTTAAAAACGTTACTTTAGAAAATATTAATAACTAAAACATCATTCGATCATCCATAATATAAACTGAACCATGTCCGAAAACCAAAACATACAACTAATCAGAATATCAGAGTATCAATCCCAGAAAAGCTCGTAAATGCGGAAACCGAAGAGTGTGTGTGTGTGACATGCTGCTACCGCGCCGGCTCCTTTCCCCTAGCTGAGGAGGTACCTGAAACCAAAACTGAAACCGTAAGCACAAAGCTTAGTGAGCTCCCCCATAATACCCCATACCATGCAAGCATTTAACAAACAACATGCAATTAGGAGATACGGGCCACGCCCACACTCGTGAAGATACGGGCCCCGCCCACACTTCGCTTTCTGAGAGATACGGGCCCCGCCCACACTCGTGAAGATACGGGCCCCGCCCACACTTCGCTATCTGGGAGATACGGGCCTAGCCCACACTCCATTCTCGGAGAGATACGGGCCTCGCCCACACTCAACCGCCAACTCATATCATACAAGTATCGCACAGACAACAAGTGTAAACAATTCTATCATACTGGCATATATCATAATCAACTCAACTAAGAGATACGGGCTCGGCCCACACTCTAATACTAACGTCTCGTCTATACGGGCCGGCCTTGGTGCCTTAGACCCGTTACTACTGGAAGGAAACTCACCTCGAAATAGCTGCTGGTCTGTGTGGGAATTGATCACCTACTACTGCTGCTGCTGCTCCGGAAACTCCCCGGCTGTAATTCCCACAATATACTTAATCATACACTGCTAACTGTCCTTTGGGTAAAAAGACCATTTTTCCCCTGGTCTAGCCCTAAGTCAATTCGAAGTCAACTTTTAGTTGACCCGACTCGCCGAGTGGATCTCCACTCGCCGAGTCCCTGTCCAGACAATTGTCCTGGGTCCCTGATTCTACTCGTCGAGTTGGGCTATGACTCGACGAGTTCATCTTCTAAACTGACATTCAACTCCTTCATCCTACTCGCCGAGTTGTATGAACAACTCGTCGAGTTCATCTTCATCCGAAGAACACATATGCTAAGACTCGCCGAGTTGTATGAACAACTCGCCGAGTCTGTTCTTGATCTATGAAGATTGCCTTGGACTCGCCGAGTCAGGGCATTGACTCGCCGAGTCCTAACATGGGTGAGTTCAGCTCCCAACTCACCGAGTCACCCCCTGTGACTCACGGCTCAACTCGACACATCATGAAGGGACCAAATCGGTGACTCGCGACAGACTCGCCGAGTCACCTATACGACTCGCCGAGTCGCCGCCATGCATCCACCAAATACACCGATTTGCTCGATTTCAGTCCATGCCATTCATAGATCTGGACTTCTAGGACACAAATCACACGTAAAGTTTCCAACTTTACGTGTGGATATTCACCAATATGGATTTTAGGGCTCAAAATGCCTTAAAAGGGTAGATCTAGGGCTAACAAGCAACATGGGGCCATAAAGCTAACAGATCTGAGCTCCTGGAGCTCAATCTTGCCTAGATCCAGAGGCCAAACATCTTAATACGACATATAAGGCACATACGAGCTTGGGGACTTGACCAAGAAAGACCCAAATGAAGTTTTAAGCATAGAATCATGGGGAAAACGGGTTATACCTCAAAGGAACTGCTGGAAGAACACAATAGTTGCTTGGTTGGCTTTCCTTCTTCTGGATCTACTTCTTTCCTCCTTCAAAACCTTCAAAAACACCCACAAAAGTCTCAAACTCTCAAGGAATGGCTTAGGACGAGGTATACAGGGCTCTAAGGGTGAATGGGGGCTGGCTTGGGGCAGTTAAGTCGTTTAAATAGGGTGCAAACCCCTGAAACTTAGGGTTTCATCCAACAGCGGCGACTCGCCGAGTCTAGGATATGGACTCGCCGAGTCGCCAACTTAAAACGTGACCTGGATCGCGTCTCTACTCGGCGAGTCGGACCTATGACTCGCCGAGTCCAAGGCTAAAATGGGAAATGTTCGAATAAGATTTACATACAGAAACCAGGTGCTACAAATCTCCCCCACTTATTTTAGACTTCGTCCTCGAAGTCTACTGCTCGTTCCTGAAACAGCTCGGGGTAATGCTCCATCATCTCGTCCATAGGCTCCCAAGTCCATTCCGAACCCTTGCGGTGCTGCCACTGCACCTTCACTAATTCCACTCTCTTGTTCCTCAAATCCCTCGACTTCCTGTCGAGGATTGCGACTGGGCGCTCAATGTAATTCAAGCTGTCATCAACCTGAATATCCTCCAAAGGCACTACTGCTGAATCGTCCACTAAGCACTTCCGCAACTGAGAAACATGGAAAGTGCTATGGATCTGGCTGAGCTGGCTGGCAGATCCAACCTGTACGCCACCCTGCCCACCCGGGCTACGACCCTGAACGGTCCGATGAATCGCGGGCCCAACTTGCCCCGCTTCCTGAATCGAGTGACGCCTTTCCAAGGCGACACTTTCAGGAGAACCATATCCCCGACTTGGAACTCCAAGTCGGATCGACGCTTATCGGCGTAACTTTTCTGTCGACTCTGAGCAGTCTGAAGTCTGTTCCGAACCTGTTGGATCCTCTCTATCGTCTCTAGCACCACCTCGGTGCTTCCCTTGACTCTTTGGCCAACTTCACCCCAACATATCGGGGTTCTGCACCTCCGCCCGTGCAACATCTCGAACGGTGGTCGGTCAATACTCGCGTGATAGCTGTTGTTGTAGGAGAACTCAGCCAAGGGAAGATAGGTATCCCAGCTACCACCGAAATCCAACACACACGCCCGCAACATGTCCTCCAAAGTCTAGATGGTCCGCTCACTTTGACCATCTGTCTGCGGGTGAAAGGCGGTGCTAAAATGCAATCGAGTGCCCAACTCGTCATGAAACTTCTTCCAAAATCTGGAAGTGAAACGTACATCCCTATCCGAGATCACCGATACCGGCACCCCGTGCCGCGCCACGATTTCCCTGATATAGATATCGGCCAACTTCTCGGCCGATATGCTCTCCTGAATCGGAATAAAGTGAGCACTCTTGGTCAGTCGGTCCACGATGACCCAAATCGAATCCACTCCACGCGCGGTTCTGGGAAGCTT